GATGATGTTGTCACTTGTTTCTATTTGCTTGCACAAGGTTACCAAGCTAATATTTGAGGATTGGGAACACAAACAGAAGATCCAAATTTGCCTCCACTCCATGGCCTCCTGTAGTATCGAGACCTGGACTGCAGTTTGAGAGATGTCATCAGAATTAAGCACTAAATATGATTGTGGGAGGAATGCATGGGGTATGTAATGCTACAATTTAGGTATATTATAGTGCAAATAATATGCAGTCTGCTGGGTACAGCAGAGAATACTTCTCCAGTAGGTAAACTCTTGGCTTCTGAAGGTGAATGTTCTGATGTGCAAAGAATTTTACATCTGAAATATGCTGTGACTGATAATAAGCATGAGGAATGATGGTGCTGTCTCACCAACCAAGATGAAAGGAAACAAGTTAACAAATAGAGTAAAAGGAAAAAATTGTGCCAGTCTTTGCAGATCATCCTCAATAACCCTACTTCTGTGATTTGCTTGCTCTGTTATATACACTAGAACATACCATATATTGTCTTTTAATTGTGCTAGGAATGTCCCAGGCCCTTGTAGTCTCTCTTCATGTCATTCTGAGCAAATCCTCCAAATATTTTTCCCTTTCATTTAATTACTCACTTCCCCCTTTGCCTGGAATGTGAGTGATGAGAAATGAACTATGGACTCATTATTGTGCTACAACAGGGAGGACATTTTTGATTTTATTTTTTTGCTTATCAATTGGGGTCACTCCCTTAACTAGTACCTTCCATTTAAATCCTCCAAATCTTTTCCTTCTTGTTGGTTTTCTGAGCTAATATTGGTAGACATTTAAAACTTCATTTTCTTAAATTGAACAGTAACCATTTACTGCTCATGCTTCTCTGCTCAGAGGAAGCTGTTCTGTATCCTCTGTACAGTCCAACGGGGAATGTTTCCTGTGACTGACTGCTTTTATTCTAATCAGTTTCAAAATGTTACCCAAATGTGCAGCAAGTTAGCCTCACAAAAGGAAAAAGTATTTTTAGGAACTGCTGCTAGAATCAGTAGAATTCTGGAATAGATAATAGTGGTATCTGGCCCTTAGCTCTCTTTTGGAAAGCATTACCCAGAAACAAATGAAATGGAGCCAACATAACCATTTAAAATAGCAAAGTAAACAGTTCATGTCGTAGTCAAGATAATCCTTAATTTCTGCTGCTTATCTGAGATCTGCCCTGCTGATCTGATGGGAGGATTTAACCTTCCTGAAAGCTGTTATCAGTGTATGTGCTTGAACTGGGAAGACCTCCTTCCACCTGCTTTTCAGAGCCCTTTCTCCTAGGAGATTAACACTGCTATGCCCTTTTTAGAAACAAAAACCTTTGAAATATGGATTATTTTTGGAGAGATATACTAGGAGTATTTTGCTACAGTACAGCTTAAGGGAAATACAAAAAAATAAAAAAAGTAATGCCTATTTAAAAGATCTTCTTTTTTTCTTTACAGAAGAACCTTGTCTTAAATTCTCAAAATTTTTCTCTTACAAAAGAACACGTATGATTGTGGAAATTAAAAAGAGGATAATTGGCTTATGGTTGGTTGTATAACCAAAAGCAATTGGGAATTTCAATTTCAAATTTCTTTGAGCTACATTGGAAACCATTTTGTAATTTTCTCTTTCTCTTGGGATACTGTATGAAACACAGAATGGCAGAGCAGATGGTGTGTCTTCTCTTTCCAAAGAGACAAGTAACATCACTCTGTTCAAGGGGGAAATCTAAAGGGTGTTTCACTGGGATATGGGAAAGCCCAGTCTAACATCTGGATCAAAAGTAAAATCAGTGTTGGTTTAACAGGTTTAATGTGTAATACTTTTCACAAGCATGCCTCTGTTTCTGATGCTATTTTTACTACGTTTCTTATGGCTTATTTTAAAACAAAACAAAACAAAATAATGTCTTTGGATTAAGAATCTCTGGTATACCTGTGCCATTGGGAGGAGGGGAGAGAATCACTGGGTGAAGTGTCTCAGGCTTAGTCATAGTAGGAGCAAGGAGTGATGGCCTGAATTATGCAGCAAAAGTTCTCAGAATAGGCAATGAGTCACTATTGCCCTTGAACTTTGTGGATCTGAAACTATATTTATCATTTCACATTGTTCCCAAGCTGTCTATTTGCAGTCCCCCAGAGCAACTTGCATTTTCTGCCCTCAAGAGCTAAAACACACACAAGGGAATTTCCAGGGAGAAAAGTTGAGGACTAATTGCATTAAGTGAGTTTTAAGGAAAGCTTTATTGAAGGATACTTGCATTGGGAAACAACTGATGGGAAGGTAATACTAAAAGATTATATAAAAGAATAAGGCAACAGCGTACAAAGGAAAAAAAAAAAAGGAAGTGGGTAAAATTAAAGAGCTCCTGTAGGATCAAGAATGTGTAGCACAGGGTACTCTTACGAGAGGAAAACATTTTTGTGAATGTACTAGCTTTTTCTTTTCCTTCCCACCTCCTTATCTGCAATGTTTTGAACACAAACTGGAGCACACTGAAAGGAAAGATCCAGATAATTACATTTTGCATTTTTCCACTTCTTCCCCCACTACAGTACAAGAGATGAATTAAATGAATTTTGTACCAGGTCGTGGCTGAACAGCAGGCTAAACACCAAAAAAACCACCTTGGCACTAAAATTCAGCAGGGAATCTTATAGTGTCTGCTGAATTGTGTGTTCAATTAGCGACCTGGAATTAGCACCTCCTGTAAGCACACTCGCTGTCGCTGGTCTTACAGCAGCAGCCTCTGTAAAGAGAATGGAAAAGGTGCTCGAGAGACTTCTTTCTTTAGAGTATTTTACATAACAGAATTTTAACAATGAGAAATATTATTATTATTATTATTATTGGGTGGAAGGATAAAAGACGCAGTATTGGCTTGCCAAAAAAGACTTAGCAAATGGAAATCCAAAATTAGTTCCAGGAAATATAATAGGTAACGTAATAGGTATATGAGAACTGTAGGTACTTTGCATTTTTGTATGTGAAGTAAGTGCAGCACAAGATTACACATCCCACACTGGTATTTCAAGTTTCCTTGTTCAGTGGGAAGAAAAACCATTGGTGCGTGGAGGCTCATTTTATAGGCATAGATTATCAGCTATCTTTAAATCTGCTTCCAAAATCCCCCATGGCTGTTGTGACAATATATTGGCATAGGGAACTCCTGTGGGTAATTGTGCTCTGGTGTAAGTATAATCATAAGGAAAGGCTCTTCCCCATGTCTGTTTGTGATTATCTCAGAGTGCATGGAAAATGGGTAACAAAACCCTCTCTGTTTTATGGGGGTCTTTAAGAGCAGTTTACTACATCTAGACAGCTGAAACTTTTAATCTAAGGGGTTTTGGAAAACAAAATATCAGTATCCTCAGAGTAAAACGCTTTCAATAATGTGTGCTGCAAGATCATTTTAGCTCAGAACTATAACTTCACCGCCCCCACCTCTGCCAAACATAATAAACATACCAGAGGAAATAAACGTAAATGCATGGGGAAATTATTCACAAGGATATTTAGTAGAAATAGACTCACAGCTCCATAAGTATTTACATTTTTGTTCAGAAAATGACAAGACCAGGCACAATTTAAAAACCGGTTTGCACGTTGGCATTACCGATGAAGTAGGATGACAAGAGATCTTTGCTTCTACTGTTACCCATAATGGATACAATTTACTAATATAGATTTGTACTCATCTAGGACAAATTTAGCAATTGGTTATGTGAGCAAAGAGTTTCACCAAGTAACTGCAAAATCTGTGACTTTCAAAATGCTATGTACTGGTAGCTGTGACAGAAGCTTGAATGTATATAAGGAGTGACATTTACACCTTGTGCTGAAGCCTTGCCGTTATTTTCTGCTGCTCTTCCCACTTTGGCCTTTAGTATTGCACTGCTGTGGGTCATTTTCACAGTCTGACTGAATGTTTGATGAACACGAAGAACGGCTGCACACAGTTCACCTAGGCATCCAGGTGGTTGACTTCTGTCTTTTTGTGTTTGTTTGGTTCGGTTTTCTTGTTTTGTTTTTTTTTTTAAATCAAACCTTCAGACATTCGACCAAGACTTACAGCCTTCACAATAAGTTTTGGCAATGAGCTACTCAGTTATATTTTTACTGAAAATACGTGGAAAGCCCTTAGCAGCTCTGCTCATTGCCAGAAGGATTTGTCCCAAAGAATTTGGGAACTAGTGTTCCTGCTGAGGGTATTTCCAACAGGCTCCTGTTTCCTGAGCTGTTTCCTAGGGTGCCTGGTGGGCAGGATGGGGTGGCTGATGCAGGTCCTGCACATCCCTCTATCTCCTCTGTGGTGACCGGTGACGGGACCCCAGGGAATGGCCTTAAGTTGTGTCAGGTGAGGTTTGGGTTGGGTATTAGAAAAAGTTTCTTCCCGCAGAGGGTGTTTGGTCACTGAACAGGCTCCCCAGGGCAGTGGTCACAGCCCCAAGGCTGACAGAGCTCAAGAAGCATTTGGATGCTCTCAGGCACATGGTGTGACTCCTGTACAGGGCTAAGGGTTGGACTCGATGATCCTTGTGGGTTCTGTCCAATTCCGAATATTCTATTCTGCGATCCTGCATGCACATCAGAGGCGCTTGCACTTTGTAATCAAAAACATACAGTTTGAAAAAAAAAAAAAAAAGGCCAATATCCATGGCAACCTGAACCCGACACCGCCGCGCCACAGCCCGCTCCGAACGCCTTTACACGTCGCACGGCGAGGGAGGGCTGCCCGAAAGCAAGGCGAGACGGAGGGAGGAGGAGAGCGAGGAGGGTGGGAGGCACCGCCCCGGGGCCCCCTCAGCGCGCCGGCTCCGCCCGCCGGGGGCGCTGCTGCCCCCGACCCCGCGGGGAGCTCGCTCCGCGCGCCCGGAGGGGGCGTGACGGCGCTCAGAGTGGCGTCCCCGCTGGCCAATGGGTGCGCCGCCCGCCTGACAGTTGGCCGGGCGCGACCAATGGGCCGCGGGCGGGGGCGGGCGCGGTGCGGCGCGAGAGGCGCGGCCGGGCGACGGCGGCGGCAGTCGGCGCGGTGGCGCAGGATGATGCGGCTGTGGCGCTCGGCGCTGCTGCGGGAGCTGCTGCTGCTCGGCCCGCCGGGGGCGGCCGGCGGCGGGGCCGCGGCCCCGGGACCCGCCGTCGGCACCAGGCGCCTCCCGCCGCCGCTCGCCACCCTCGGCGCCTGCCCACCCGCCGCCCGCCGCGGCCCGGCGGCGCTACCGGCGGCGCGGGGTCTGTGCACCCGCTCGGAGGGAGCCTTGGAGGAGCCGGGGAAGGGGGCGCAGGCGCCGTCGGCGGCTCCCGGCGAGCCCCCCGCCGATAGCGGGCACAACAATAATCACGGCGGCAAGGAGGTGGCCGGAGGCGGCGAGAAGTGAGTGCGGAGGGGGCGGCGGGCGCGGTGGATGATGCGGAGGCGCCATGTGAGCGCCGCCTCCCCCGGCACGCGTGGTGCCTGCGGAAGGGGCCGGGCCGGGCCGGGCCGGGCGGGCGCTGCCCCTGCAGGTGCGGGCGAGGAGTCCCGGCTCCACGAGGACCGCTTCCCGGCGGCCGCGGGTCACGGCGGGCGGGCTCGGGGCGGGAGGGAAGCGCAGCCCCGTGGCAGGGATGTCGTGTGCGCCTGCCGGGGCTCCTCTCACCGCTCCCTGGGGTCCCGGGCGTCCCCCTGCCCGGGGGTCCCTCCCGCCCGTGTGAGCTCGGAGCAGGCGGTGTACGCTAGCGTGTTCTTTCTAGCGCTGCTGCTCGCCTAAAAATGCTTCCCAGGAGAAGCCAAAGCTGTGTCATCTTGCATTAATTATTAAAGGCGGTGTACGTGGTGCGTAGTGGTGCCTTGGAAGTTTTGCAGCGCTGTTTACTCCACGTCTGCATCCACCTGGGCGCGTTCCTGTGTCACCTACTCTAGGCGACCCTGCCTTGGCAAAAGGGTTGAACTGGATGGTCTGCAGAGGTCCCAACCCTAATAATTACGTGATTTTGTGGTCTAGTGCAGCCAGGAACAGATATTACCACCCGTTAGTGGTGAGTACAAATGTTCATAGGTGCTGCAGGATGTGTACCGTGCCAAGAGGTCCTTACTTGTCCCTTAGTGACAAAGGTACATCCAGGTAATAGAATGATAAGGCTGTATATGCTTATGAAGTTCATATTCTTTCACTCAGGACCGGAAACTTTCTTTGAAAAAAAAAAGGTCAGGGACAGGTGCATCAGTTCCAGTTTTTATCCCTGCTAGTGACTGGTAGTGGATACCAGGGATAGAGTATAATGATGAGGTAAATGGATTGGCAGGGCACTCTGCTCTGTTAGTCCTCAGCATTATGCAAGTCTTGAAAGCCTTGTTCGTTTTCTAGCAGTCTGACAGTTTGCCCATTGCTTGTTTGAAGCTGGGTGCGTTTAGTATCTCTGATAACCTTTTAAAAGAACTTTGACAGCTTAACTGCAAGCCCCATGAGAACTCACATCCTTTGTGTGTGTTTGAAATGTGCCCCGTGGCTGTCTTGTAAGCATGCTGTATGAGGTGGCATAATTAAAATCTAACCCCAAACTGCTTTCCCAGAATTTGCTATGCTTATGAAAAAAGCAGATGACAGAAGAAATAGAGCCAAAAAAGGAGTACCTTGTTTTTACACTGAGCAAAGTCTCTGTTAGTCTAATGCTAAGAGGAAGTCTGGAAAAGATTCTACGAGGCCTGTCAGGAAGGCCTCAGCCCTTAGCTTGTTAATAGTTCTGTTTCAGAGCTGTGGTTTGTGGGTTGGGTTTTTTTACCATGAAGTTGCACTCCTTCAACGTGGCAGGTGGGGAAGAAGACTGTCACCTTGTTCTTCTCCCCTTTTTCCCACCAAAGGCCCTAGCTACTCAACTTGGTTTAATGCCATAATTAATTTAATGCCATAATGGCATCACATAAAATTTGTGCTGTCAGGTGCCTTAAAAAATGCGTGCATGTCAGGTTATGTAACCATGTACAGTATAATGCACAATCATTTGAGTATTTTACTATTGTTGAACAAATATGAAGTCTCCTTTTTTGAATTGGCTCTGTGCATAATGTTATGGAACAAAAAATTATTCAGCTGCGGCTCAGGTGTGGTTTATAAAGGCTCCACTTCTGTTTTCAATAAGAAATACAGACAGTACCATTAAAAACTTTGGAAAAAAACCAGCATGCCAGCTGTGGTGGGACTTTGAGGATGCTGCAAGTGTGATTTATTGAAGCAGTAACGTTTTCTTTAACTGAGCTGTTAGCAGCTTCCTACAGTTAGCATCAACTAGGGAAATTCTATAATTTTTAATGTGCGGTAAAGCTATGTAGTCACAAACCAGTTAAACACTTCTAATCATTTTTGGCTTTTGACAGAAGGGTGTATTTGAAAGTCAGATGCTTGTTCTTTGAGCCTTACTGCAAAAGGAACAAGGAGAAATTCTGTAAAACATCTAGCATATAGTTATGAACAAGGAAAAACCTGGAAACTTTCTTTTCATTTCAGGCTGTGCAGGAATTCCTGGTGGCGCATTAGTCAGGCTGCTGGATACTTTCATTTGCATTTTTCTTAATGCAGAACTATGAAAATCTTCCTTAAGCATTAGTAAATGGTACATTACATGTGAAAATCTTTGTTATATTAAGACAGTACAGGGTTCAGAAGAAAAGGGAAGTTCTTCAAAAGACAGGTTTCTGGACTGTGTTGTCAACTGGGCTAAGTCACTCTGTATTCTGCTGATTCCAGTGCTTTGCCACCTGGAGTGTCTAACATGTGAGTTGTGTTAGGCAAATGGTTTGTGGACCCAACTGGGAGGGCAGTAGTCCTTTTTACACTTTTTTTTTTTTTTTTGCTTGTTGGTGTTGAGTGATTATTTTTCTCTATTTGGTTTTAAGGTTTTTAGGATCCTGGAATGACCCACAGTGTCAAAAGGCAGAACTAAGGTTTTCTTGCTTGTTTCCTTGCCTAACGGTCCTCGCGTACGGAGAGTAGGAGTTGCAAGTGAACACCTAAAATGTTTTGTGCAAAGACTAAACAGAAATTTAGAACAATTCCTCATAGAGGGAATAATTTATGAGGTCTGTGGCTGATGAAATAACTAATATCCCATTGCATAACCAGATCCCCTTGTGCATTTTTTCCGAAACATCACCACCACTTCCTTATCCCTGCTATCCAGCCTTCATGCTGTGTATCCAGCTGAAACTTAACATATTTTAGAGGGAAGAAATAATGGAGTTTAAACTGAGAGGGATCATAGACTGGTAAATTTAATTAATGAAAACTCTGGATTAAAATGCAGTCATATCTATGCTCATGCCTGAGTTATTAGACACAGTAACCTGGCACAATCCTCAGTTTGCTTCTATTTTCAGTATAACTGTGCATTGTTCACTTTTACTTTCGGAATAAGTGTGCATTGTTCATCTTACACTGGACAGGAAAAGGCTCAAACATTTTATCTTGGCATAAGCTATTTCTAAATTACAAAGGCCTTGATTAAAGTGACAGGGAGGAGCAAAATGTGAGAGACCTGAACTTCTAAAAGCTAAGTTGCTAACTTTTTACACTTAATTGCAATAGTGGTTGGTATTAGTGTATGGGATATAGCAAAAGGGTTAATAGAAGTGTTTTGTTAAATTTTTTTTTTTTTTTTTTTTTTAATGACAAGGGCGTGGTAGTGCTCTTTTTTAAGGGCAGAGGTGAATTCTGGAGATACTTTTTAAAAAGAAATTTTGCCTTTGTAGCCAGACCAGATTCCAGAGGAATTACTGTAGTAACCAGGCAGTGGTTCATTTAACTGGTACTCCTGTTGGAGTATGAAATACTCAGAGATGCAAGAAAGTGTTAGAAGTGCACTTTCATTAGACCTTTCATAATTTCTGTAGAGGCCAAGGTTTTGAAACAACAGTTCTTGGTTTTACCATAAACACTTTGGTATCTATTAAACGTGTCTATCTTTGTTCTAAGTCTATAAATACATAGTTTTTTCTTGAATCTTGGGTAAACAGTTACCTACTGCTGTTACCAGATCAGTATCTCAAGTATATAAGGGGACAGAAAGTAGTTATTTAGTGATTTGACAAGTGTTTGTATCTCTTGGTTGGAGACATGTCTGTAGTATGATGACAACTTCTTCAAAGTACCTATTTTAGATAGAGTAGCTGCTGACTGTGGTTTGCAGCCCTTTCAGCGTTCAGAATAGTTTGGGTTGGAAGGGACTGTTAAAGGTCACCTAGTCCAGTCTCCTCTCCAATGAGCAGGAACATCTTCAGCTACATCAGTCTGCTCAGAACCTCGTGCAGTGAGACCTTGAATGTTTCCAGGGATGGGGCGTCTGCCACCTGTCTGGGCAACCTGTTCCAGAATTTCATTACCCTCATTGTAAAATTTCTTCCTTATATTTAATCTAAATCTACCCTCTTCCTAGTTTAAAACCATTATGCGTTGTCCTGTCACAACACACCCTGCTAACAAGTCTGCCCCCATCTTTATTATAGACCCCACTTTATGTACTGAAAGACCACAATGAGGTCCCCCAGGAGCCTTCTTTTCTCCAGGATGAACAACCCCAACTCCCTCAGCTTAACCTTATAGGAGAGGTGCTCATCCTTGCTGATCATCTTGGTGGCCTTCCTCTGGACCTGCTCCAACAGGTCCATGTCCTTCCTGGGCTGGGGACCCCAGAGCTGGATGCAGCACTGCAAGTGGGGTTTCAACAAAGTGGAGAATGGGAGCAGAATCCCCTCCCTTGACCTGCTGTCCCTGCTGCTTTGGATGCAACCCAGGACACACTTTTTGGGCTGTGAATGCACAGGGCTGGGTCCTGTCCAGCTTCTCATCCACCTGTGTCCCTGATGAAGATATTAAACAGCACTGGTCTCAGAACAGACCCCTGAGGGACCGTTTTTTGTGACAATAATTGTGATTTCATATTTTTATGACCGATGCCTTATGGTTAATAATGAACCTAAAACTATTATTAGCAATATCATATCTGTATATCATTTGTTGTTCTGTAAATCCTGGTCTGCATTTTGGCAGTTGCATCTTGAAGTAGAAAGTAGCAATGTTTCATGGTATTTGAAATCTGATCTTGTTCCTGTTGTAGAAATTAGAATTCAGCATTTGTTGAAATGAAATCCTCCCTGGAATCTGGTGTTAGCATGGTACTGATGCAAAAGAAGAGCTGAAGGAAGGAATGATATGGACTGCAAAGTCCTTGTGCTTGGGATTCCTATGTTCTTTTTTTCTTTGTATTTAAAGAGCAGTGTGGACCATCCACCAGTATTGTGGGCCACAGATTAGAATACGATCAAAGAAGTCTAGTTGTGTAATAGTCTGGTGCTTAATTTTTTTATTTTTTTAAAAGAAGGGAAGTAAGTATCGAAAATCATTCATGAAATCAGGTAAACTGGAATTTCCACTTAATTTGACTGTGAAAATTGCAAGTTCCCTGACCTGAAAAACAGCTTTTTACCTGTGCTGAACAGAATTATCTTGCTAAGTGTGTTCATGGTGCCAAAACACACATCTTTTAGGTTAAGCAAACATTGGTTACTGGCATCACTGGTCTGATAAACTGCAGAGCAAGCCTTTTCACCTCTATTTAGCTGATAAAGTTTATCAAAAGATGAATTATTTGACAAAAAGGAATTTTTATGTAAATATACTGAATGTCATCCTCTTTGCTTTGGTAGTCAGTGCAGATCCATTGTTTAATTAGGCTGAGTGACCCAATATTGAAGAGCAGCAGATGTGAAAGATATGGAAATCAAGAGATTTTATGCTGTGTAAAATCTTGGTCAAATGTGTGAAGTTTTTTTTCTGCACCTTTTCAGATAGAAATTCCATACTTGGGACAGCTGTAAAATTCTGATTAATTGCTCAGAAATGTGCAATTAAAGAGGTTATCAGTTAAAATTTCTCAGTGTGTTTGCTGGCTTGTTTTATCAGAGTGAAATAGGAAAGTTTCTTCTGCCAGACCTTCAGCAGTCCAGTGACTGTTCCTTAAAGCATAGAATCTTGACACTTTGAGGAGCTTAATTAAATGGTTTGTGTAAATGGTGGGGATGTCAGGGTGTAGGGGATGTAACTCGGCCTAACTTTCAGAATGAGGTACCTGCAGAGTTGAGATGCAGAACAGAGGGTGAAGCTTTAATTGGTACCTTGGGTAGTTCTGATTCTGGTGGCTTGACTGGACATACTGTTCTCAAAAGATTGGAGGTGAAATGTGCTACGTGGAAGGAAAAGGGGCGCTCACTAATTTACTCGAGGTAGTTGCAAGCGTTTGTGTTGGTTGAATTGCCAGCCTGTCTGTGCCTTAGTCAGCCAGCATAATTTAAAAAAAAAATCCAGACTGTAAGACAAGGAAAGTTCTGTTGGCTTACAAAGCTGTCTTCTGTTCTTGTGTATAAGTACAGTGTTTTAAATTGGAAAATGAGAGGTGATATTTTTTACTACTGGTTTTCACAGCTAGTTATGAGGGAAGGAGGGAGTCAAGGGCAATCTAGAGGTTGTTTTAAATTTAAAAGTGTATTTGGATGTAATCAGATTTTTATTAAAAATAATCATAAATCTGACTTGTTTAAGTATTGAGAGAGGAGAGAGGATTAAACATCAGTGTGTAAGACTGCATTGGCCTACCTGGGGTCTGTGCTTAGTTGTAGCATTTTATTTTTGCCCTTATAACTCTGAGTTCTGTTATTCAAAGAATTACTAATCTTGTGAAAACTTTAATTACTAGAATTTGGACCTACACACATGCATAAATATATAAAAATACATGAATTGCCACTGAGCATTCTAGTTTCAGGCAGTAACTTTATTACAGTATGGTAACAATGTATTGCCAATATTATTTGATTGTAAAATTGACCTGTAAAATTGATGGCTAAAATAATGCAAGACTTCTGCTCTGCATTTTAGTTAATGTCTGCATTTGCTGGAGAACTGTTTTGTTTTGATTTTATTTATTTTTGCTTATCAGACATCAGAATATTTGTTTCTCTAACCTGTGTTGTCTACAAACCAACCTGAGAGTTTCAGGGGACTAAAAGAACTGATTGGAATCCCTTTGCTGTCGCTGCCTCTGGCAGTTTGGAAGTGCACGTTCCAGCTCTGTGCTAAGATGCTTTACTCATGGGGGAAGTGTAAAGAGCTGAGTGCAAACTTTTGGCTCCTGCCTGCTTCAGGGTGCTTTGGAATAGTGGGGAAAGGCAGAACTTTTTATAGGTTAAATCTATAAACTTGCAAAGACTTTAAGGCAAAACTGTCAGTATTACAGCTTTCTGTCCTAGCAGGAATCTCAGTGCTTAATTGGGTAGGTTTCCTTCAGACTTCGCATAAAATGGAGATGTAACGTACAAAAAACCTGCAGTCATAGGGAAAGCGTATCTCGGAGTGCAATAGCTAACACCTGGAATCCTTGGAGAGCCGGGGTGTTTGCATTGATAAGCGCAGTGACCATTAAAGGTGTATCTGCACTGCACGTTTGCTTTGCTAAGTACGTGTGATGAGAACCCTTTCTCCTGGTGCCTGAGCTGGTTCAGGGCGATGTGTTGTGCTGCAGATGGCTTTGCTTGCTTTCACGGTAACTGATGGGCCTTACATAAGCTTCCAGGAACACAAGGGCTTCAGAACTCCTCTGTGGAGTCCTAAAAACAGGACTATTTTGAAGAAAATACTACACATTTGCCATCTCCTTCTCTTGCCTGTAAAACAATTGGGTCAGTATGCTCTTACAACTTTGTGATAAGGCTCGTGGGTCTTGGAATCTTACAAATAATTTATTCTGTGTAAGTAGCACATCTATCCTCCGTAACATCAAGAAGAGGGATAAGTGATTAATCTGCTCCCCCCAAAATTATAAATATAATCTTAGCAATAAATATATGACAGTAAATATATGGTTGTGTTCAGTTAAGTGTTTGCTCTTGTAAAATTGATGTACACTACTTTTATATTACCATTTTATTTTCTACTTAAGGCCGAATTAAGCTTTGTGTTCAGTGCTAGAAGTGTCCTTTTAAATCATTGGTAGCAGTTAGATTGGTAGTGAAAATGTGTCTCCCTGAGAATGTAAAAATGTGTATAAATAAAAATAGGCACTATAAACTAATTATGCTTTTTTCTTTTTTTTTCTTTCTTTTCCAGTAAAATGAAGCAAGGTCTCCTTCCTAGCTTAGAAGATCTACTTTTCTATACTATTGCAGAAGGACAAGAAAAGATACCAGTTCATAAATTCATAACTGTAAGTTTACTGTTCCAGAGTGCTGTATAAAAGGTGACTACTGCGGGGTTATTTTACATTTGAAATGCAAGAATGCAAAGCAAAGAATTTCTGTTATACATGTTTAGCTCTGGGACAGAATGTAACTATTTTTTCCGTAACGCTGTAAAACAGTAAGTGTATTTTTATTATCCACTTCTTTGATGTGCAGAGGAGCATGCTTGAAAGCATTTGTGCCTATGGCAGGGTTGGATAGTGTTTGTACTTTTGTAAAATGTAGTCAGACAGCTGTGGATTTCAAATTACATTAATGTTTTGACATAAAATGCAGCCAGAATGGCCAAAGGATCAATAAGGTGTCAGAATGTCTGTGTTGATAGTGCAGTGGCAGATGTATCTTACAGTGATAAAAACACTGAGGAGTAGATAATGTGATTGTAATAGAATATTTTTTCCCTTTAGTAATTATTGTTTTATTGTAATAGGCACTCAAATCTACAGGATTACGTACATCTGACCCTCGATTGAAAGAGTGCATGGATATGTTAAGACTGACTCTTCAGACAACTTCAGATGGTGTTATGCTGGATAAAGACCTTTTTAAAAAGTAAATTTTCTGTCAATGATGTAACTATGATTGTGAATGAGTGTTGTCTATGTGTTACTGACTGACTGCTGTCTTGAGGAGAGACATAAGATATATAAATCAATGTGTAATTAGAAATAGAGTCAAACATATATTCCTGATGCTGTTTTCATATGAGTTTGTTCTCAGGTTTCATGCAGCAGACAGGCTGTGTGATCTCCACAAGAGTTTAATGTGTCAGTGTTTACACATGTGTCTGACCCCATACTGCAGCTCTCGGTCTGATGCCAAATAAATTAATTGATGCAGCATGGGCTGTGTAGTATGATTACATAAAACTGCTCTCTCAGTGCATCACCAGTTTTTAATCTGAAGTTCAGGATGTTGCTTCTGTGTGGCGAGATGTTCAGAGTATATATATAGTTCATTCTAAAGGTGAGTATGTGAAAAACAGAGTGAAGTGAAATTTCTATAAGATATGGAGAGATGAGAGGAGTTAAGACTGCAGACATTCCTCTGGTCTATTTTGCAAGAGGTTTGTGTGCCATATTTTAGTGATGCTCTAAATTCTTTTTTTTTAAGCAAAGTCTGTGGTCAGTTACATGAACAGTGTAAGCACTGTTCAGGTTGTCTTCTATTCATTCCAAGCACACTCCTTTGCTCCTTTACTTACAGCTTTTGTGTGCCAAAAGATTGGAATTTTGGAGGCTCTTAAATCTCAAAATGAAGTTTTTAGACTATTTTTCAGTCTGTGTTTTTATTCCATTTACATGGTAAATCATAAAATATTGGACACTTTTTTTTCATGAAGAATATACTTTTGTAAAATTGGTACATTTTTGTTGATCTGTAGCATTTTTTTGAATTTGTGAATTAATGTTTAGTACTGTTTCTTCTTGGTTACAATATAAAAATATGTATGTGTTTAAAAGGGTATTTACATATACATACCATTTTGTATATTTTATATACATGTAAGTATATAAAATATATAATAGAGCGAAAGTATGTACTGTATATTTTTTAATATATGTTAAATGCATAATATATTTACACAGTTTATATAAATCTAAACATAAAGTATATGTGTTATATATATTAAATTGCATAAACATTTTTTTAAATATATTGAGAAAAAATGAATGCCTGTGTGTGTGACAAAATAACAAACCAGTCAACTCCTTAATCAGATATGGAATTATTTCCTTAAGGTACAACATGGACTAACTTTACTCCTGTACTAACTTCAAGACTAGGTCTTCGCTGGTTACTTGTCAACTCAGTAAAAACGCTGAATTGTTGGATTCAGAAACCTTCCTGGATGTGTGGATGGATTAGAAAGGAAATACTTCTACTCTTACACATTACATGCATACTAGAGGGCTTGTTTGTCATAGTAAACTATGAATTAAGTTTTAGGCAAGGGCTCTACATTTGAAAAAAGGACAAGCGATTGCTAATGGGCAGGATTAGTTCATGTTCTGTGTCACATCTCTGGGATTTGATTGTGTTGGGAGAGTACTTTAATAATTTGTAGAAAACTTACATAGTTGCTTGTGTAGGAAGAATTTTGAACTTAAAGACAATACAGAGAGTGGAGAGGTAGATCTTATTTCACATAGCAGGTTTTCCTTTGCAGCAGCAGAAGGTTCCTTTGCAGACTTTTTGTAAATGATAAAACCCCACACTTCAGTTATCTGTTCCTCCTAGGCACACTGCATTTGCTGTGAAAAGGCTTATACAGGATCCCTGTGTTCTTTCTTCTACAAGTGTTTAAGGTGTGAAATATAATAATTTATCTCCTTGGCTGTACTTACCCCTCAGGACTGATGTGAAGCATCAGTTCCCTTAACATAAAAGTCAGTGGTGTAATTCTCCTCTTGAATGTGTATCCGAAGCTGCTTGATGAAATAAAGTATCGAGGTTAAGTGATATGGAGCAGTGGTAACATAAGCTTGCCTGAATCAATCAAGTCCCGTAGAAATTACGTGTAAAATATGTTAGTTCACACATCTGTAGTGTCTGCCTCTCTATGCCTTTGTAGTGATTTTAAATATTGGGTTCCAATTTTACTAAAATTGCATTCTTTGGAAGTTTTTTGACTTTGCAGTGCTCTCCTCTTAGAGTAAAAATTTGGAAAAAATCTCCGTGTTACAGGCAGAACAGCTTGCAGTTTTAATCTTTGATCTCCAGAATTTCTTGAAGACTTCTGGGGTGCACATTTCAGAGAGAGAGTCTGATAAATTTCTTGAATTTATGAATTTATGAAATTTATTTGAATTTTGTGTTGCATCTGTGTAACACAACTTGTGGTCTTTGTAGCAGGAGTGACACCTCAGTGAGAACAACCTGTTACTGAAAGCAGTGCAGCATGCTAGTTAGCTTGCTATGTAAATTTTTTAATTTTCCCTTTTTTTTTTTTTTGTACTTCAGCTATAGTACTATTTAATATACTAGTAGTAGTACTGTCTACTGTTAGATGGAACTTAGGCAACTTAACAAATGTGGAAGATATTCTATGTGCTAGTCTTCCTCATAAAGTTGTCCTCATTTTGACATATCCTGTTTTTTTAGATCTGTTTCTATGACACTGTAGCTAATCTGTAGAAAAAGTTCCAATACTCTTTGTAAGAAATCCTCCTACCACTCTTAGCTTTTCCTTTGTCATAGCATGTTCCTAACAGAAAAATGTATGACTTACAGAGAGTGCTGTTTCTTAACTAATGATATTTTGGTCAGTGGAGGGGAAGGAAAGGCACAAGGCAATCAAAATTGAGTTAACTCGAAAGTGGTGTATACTTGAACAAAACGATAGCTACTGAGTAACAGGTATAACTCAGAACTTTAAACCCTGTTCTTTTTCAGAATAGCTTACTTGGCTTTGTAGGATTAGCCTTTGTCACAAGGTGCTTTACTGACCCAGAACTGAGGTCTTGCCAGCCACATCTCCTCTGGTGTGCGGGTAAGAAGCAGCAGTCTGGGTATGTTATGTACTGAGCACCAACCTGACAATTTGTTGCTGGATCTCAAACAGGGTTTTCTAATTGCTGCTGAGCAGCTGTGCTGCTCTCTCGTAGCAAATCCTGATGAAAACTTTAATTTTAGATAACCTTAACCCAGGTATTAATAAATGTCTTTGTCTTATTTGAGCAATCTTTTGACAGGAGATGTAGAGGACTTCCACTATGTTAGAATATTAATATCTGATTTGTCAATGTAGTGTCATTTTTCTTCTAAAATGTTTAAATATGCTGAACACCTCTACAACCCTAGTCTTGCTAGTTGGACATGGAGTTTCACATGCCTTTCTGTAATGCTTATGGTTTTTAAACAGGAAAAAAGGTGTCCCTTCATCTATACAGACAGCCAAAGAGTTCTTTGGAAGTGGTAGTTCAGACTGCATTTTTAACAGGTCTGCTTTGTGTAGGGAAGCAGTAATCAGGAGTCTGAGCCAGAAATTGACAAATAATGGATAAACCTAACAAGATTTATGATAAAGGAAGCAAAGTGGTTCTATATGATAGAGACCAAAGATGCTGTTTCTAAAAACCCCTGAACCGTACAAGTTAGGAACCCCTCTACTATGAAGTAGGAAGTTTTGAGTGTACCTGTCTTGAACACCGATAAAGCCATGTGGGAGATAAGAGCCAAGTTGTTGGTAAAATATGACTGTAGAAAGATTTCTATTTATCAGTATATTTATTTAGTTGAATTTCTCCCTGTGATCTTTTCCTACTGCTCCACTTGGAGTCTGAGGCCAGTCATTTCCAGAGAATTACCTGGATCATAAAGCAGTTGGATACTCTGGTAGGGAGGAGATGGCAGTTGCAGAATTTTAGATACTATCATGGCTCATTTCCTCCGTTGACTGAAAATATTATGCCCTGTTAAAAGAGGTGATACTAAGACCCCTGTTATTTTGTCCATGTATTAATTGCTCTGAATACCCCTCTAGATTACTCCAGCCCCTGTATTTAATTTAGTCTGTAATTCATGTGATTTGCCTGGGTTAAGGAGTACCAGGATAAATACTCAGAGTCCAGGAACAATTGGTAACAATAGGTAATGTCCTTAACCAGCATAGCCATTTCTGCAGTGACTTTCAATCTTGTTGATTAAAATGATTGAACTGTTGCAGTGAGCATTACAGACTTGGTGTAAGTTGCGAGTGTATAAGTCCCCTCCCTGTTTCAGAAGCATAATATGATCCCAGAGGACTGTATGTCAGTGCATCCTGCCTTCTTGTTGTTTTAGACACTGTGTATTGAGTTGTTCTAATAGGTTTAGATGAACTTCAGATACTACTTTTTTTCTTTCTTATAAGTGCATAATGTTGTCCATAATGTAGAAGTGCATCTGAAGTTGAAATCTACTGTATATTATGTTGCTACTCCTTCTGCACACTTAGCTGCCATCAGCGTTATTAATTACTTTTGAGAAGGGATTTTGCACTTGGAGTAGGTGACTGTAATTGGAGGTTACTGGGAGCAAAAACTAACAGGATTTTTTGCGGACTGCAACAAAGCCAGCTCAGTTGCAATTTTAGCATAAACTAACAAATTACAGACAGCAGTTTTTAAGGTGACTTCTCTATCATTTCTCTTTTGCTTTTGGAGAGTAGTGCCTACCAGCATTTGAAATGGCTTTCAGTTGAATTTGGGATAAAGTCGTCTAAGTACAAAGGAGTTAAAACTAAAGGTTTGAAAAAAAGGAGGGGGGACTCAAAGGGAGGATAATTCTGTCTCTTCACTGGTCTTAATGAACCGTTTTGAACTGATGATAAGTTTCAATAATAGAATTATTTGAATATCTATTCCAAGTGAAAATGTTTCCCTAAGAATTTTTGCCTAATTTTTTTACTTTTCTGAGTAAGTCTTCATCGGAAGGATGTGTTCTCCTTTGTAGAATGTGCTTAGATATTCTTAACTTCCCGTTTTCCTGCATTAATAGTTTGTTTCTGCTTTTGTCCACACTGCCCGAAGGCACGGTATGAAGGTGTTAACTGTTTGTTTGGTGTTAAACCTCCCTTTCTCTTCTTTGCATTGGGATAGGGGTGTTAATACCCTTTTATCAGGTCATGTTTCAACTGAGTGATAATGGCTCCCAATTCCCACCCCTTCTTCTGCTCACCCCCCCTCAACCCACGGACGCACCACTTTCAGCATGTCTCAGCTTGCGTTTTCATCCTTCCCTTCTTCTGTTTGTCCTAGATAAGCCCTTTCCCTTTTACCTTATCACTTTTTTAGATGTCCCAGATGGGCCGATGTTCAGAGGGTGTGGACAGACAGTGTAACTGTGTTCTGGGTTAAAAGGCTAAAAGGCAGCGAAGATTCCTTAACTGCTGGTAGTTCGAAGCAAGATACTTGCAGAACTGCTCACTGTTAACTTTTGCTTAGTTTAGGGAGATGTTATCGAGTCTCTCCACAGGATTTTGTTCTTATTTAAGTATCGCATTCCAGTTTAGTTTTTTGGCAGTGTTCTCACTCAGTTCATGGTGAAACAATGAAGTTAAGAAACCAACCCTGAACCTCAGAAGTTCGATCTAACTCTGAAATTAGCACTTCTTTGGACAAGGTCTGGGTTAGACAACCTTTGCAAGGCTTGATCCTAAGAAATGGGTGGCTTCGATCCCTTTTGCAAGCTGAGGTGCTGCTTGAAGGCAGATACAGTACCTTGCAATACCACCTCACAGCTGAAACTTCAAAAGAGAGCTTTAATTAGAAAGGAATAAAAGTGAATTCGATGAAATTATTGTAAATAATTAAAAAAGTATACAACTTAAGGCACCAAATTTGAAAAGTCTTTCTAATAAGGGCATGTTCTTGTAGGCATGTAACTTCAAGGGACTGAGGTTCCTTATTTAAATAACAGGTAATTGCTACCTAAGTAGGCTTTTTGGCAGTACGTTGTCAAAATACTAATAAACTTTTTTAATGTTTTTGCAGGTGTGTACAAAGTAATATTGTGTTGCTTACTCAAGCTTTCAGGAGGAAGTTTGTCATTCCGGATTTTATGTCGTTTACTTCTCATATTGATGAGCTATATGAAAGTGCTAAAAAACAATCTGGAGGAAAGGTAACTTGTTTGTAAATTCAAATTTAAACTTCCCTGATATTAACCAAATACATTATTTTTTTCAGTAGACAGATTTTTCTTAAGATTTTTAGAGAAATGTTAAACTTGATAACTTGATAGAAGAGTCTTGGAAGTTCATTTATGCCCACAACTTGTAAACTGGGTCAGAAATACAGCTCATCACCTCTACCAATCTTGCAGAGTTTTGCCGTTAGAATATGAGAATAGTATTGCCCCTTATTTTACATAAACTCTAAAATTGCTGTATAATTTGTCAGACTACTTTGTAGAAGAACTGTTCAACTCTACACAACTGGCTGGATTGTGTGACAGAAGTAACTGTCAACGTAGTACCTTTGTTAGTAAATGAAGTTTATTCTAGTGCTTATTTTCAGTAAATTAGTTGAAAAATCCACGACTGTTACAAGCAAAAATTTTATGTGATTTGAAATGCTGTAATACAGAACACAAATACCTCTTAGAATGTGCTGAAATTTTTACTTTGAAAAAAATTTTTATTTGACAATGATCTTGTGAATATAATAATTTGTAAGGAAGTTTTAGATATACCAGGTGATTATTAGTGGGATAACCCAGTTGTGCCTTGTGTATCCTTTCCATTGACATTTATTTTAATTAATTATAGGTAAATATTTTGAATGTTGTAATGTCTCTCTTTATTTCACACTGTGATAGGTTGCTGATTATATTCCTCAACTGGCCAAGTTCAGCCCTGATTTGTGGGGTGTGTCACTTTGCACCGTCGATGGACAGAGGTATATTGTAATGTCTAGATTTTGTTGCTGGAATATTTGAAGGACAGGACAGAAACAATGCTTCTGTAGTATTAATACATGTTAATTTGGAAATCAAAGCTTTGTCTAATGGTACTTGTGCATCAAGCTGTATTACTTTTTGGGCAGGTCACGATGTACTTAACAGTTAGTTCCTTCTCTGCATTTTAATGTTTTTACTGTAGCATTATTATATAATCTGTATGTGTCACCAAAGAAATGCAGATTCACGCTCTTGAAACTAAAGATGTGGAAACTGGACAGAACTAAATATGACTTTGCTTTTCAGATTTATTAAGCTTTCTCCTTATAAGAATGTGTGTCAGTCTTAGATGTAGTCAGTGACCTTACTTTTGTTTTTTTCTTTATTAGTAATGCAATGTAGCAGAGACAGTTAGGAGCCTAAATGTGAATATCTCACACTATCTAGCTGAGAAGTAATGTGAGCTGTGTCTGCCTTTGTGTCTAGACAATGAGATGCTTATCAATTCATCAGGTGTCCCTGCTGGTCTGCAGTTTGTGTGGTCTTACTGCATGGTCTGAGAATCATAATTTTTAGGAGCTGAGTTTGTGAATGGGGCATTCCTGAGAGACCATCAGACTTGCTTATGGTGACTGTGGCTTGGAGTTCATTTTAATGTGATCTGTATGTTTGTTTCTAATTAGCCATATGCTCTGTAATCTCTAGGGGAGGATTTGTACAAGTGAGCTGAAGTATTTTTTTCATCTCCCTGTTTAAGTGTCTGAATTATAATCTATTCATAGTAAAACAACTTAATAAAAATGTTCATCCTTTTGAATATTTAAAATTGGCATTTTGCTTTGTTTTGGGTATCATGCACTAATGAAAGTTTTTATAATGTTTATTTTTGTTATGTTTAATGTTACGTAATGTTAAGCTTAATAATGTGAGTTTCTCTGAAGCCTTCTCGCATTTTCTGCAAAGAAGAGAGTCGAATAAACTTCTGAGTTTGGCGTTAGACAAGTGATTGCTGGAAGCCTTTTGCTCTAAATGTGGCATATGCTGCTTGCATGAGTCATGCTTTGGTGCAGTCTGACAGATGCTGAAAGTAAACTTTCCCAAAGATAGCATTTAGTAATTGTTATAAAATACCTATGCCATTATCAAAGGGGATTATAATTATATTATACAGCTATTTCATTATTGTCTCCAAATTCCAAACCCAAATTGTATCTCATCTTTGTTTATACAGACATAAATATGTATAGTGGCTATATTTGGGTCAGCTGTACCACCCTGAGTATGTGGTTTGCAATTGCGTAGGGTAAGTGTGGTACTAGAGGTGTGAGGTGATTTTTTTGCCCTGGTACAGACCCACTTTGGAATTTGCTCTTTGTTACATCTGCAGTAATCATTAGCAACTGACTTTGTTATGCTTGGCTTATGGAGTCAGTTGTTAAAATCTTTAAATCTCTTTATGTTCTTTAAAACGAGACTTAGTAATAATATGATTTGGGGTTTTGGTGTGTTTTTTTTAATAGTTCATGTATGTTGAAGAGTAGGTGTAGCATTTAATACTCTTACTACCACAGCTGACAAACAGGAAATTTCAAGCTTCTTTATCTTTTTTTTTCCCAGGCATTCTGTTGGCGATACCAAAGTTCCGTTTTGTCTTCAGTCCTGTGTCAAGCCTTTGAAATACGCTATTGCTGTTAATGATCTTGGCACAGAGTATGTGCACAGATATGTTGGGAAAGAGCCTAGTGGACTAAGATTCAACAAATTGTTCCTGAATGAAGACGGTAAGAGATAAACAACACCTAAATAATGCAAATGCTGAATTTTAGAAAATTATAAAACAAGCTACACAGTTTTTTCAGTCTCTTCATTTTACTGTATCCTTTTAAATATTATTAGTAGACAGTGTCTCGAAATATTTTGCCATCAGCAAGGTAGACTTAGTCTTTGTTAGTCCTTTTGCCTAATTTAAAGTGCTAGTAAAAGGTGCTTTACTGCCTCTGTTCTCTTTACTAGTTGTTGAGTTGTAGGAAAATCCAAAGGATTTTGATAATGCAGGTATTTGAGATCTGTATTTATTTGGTTGAGTTGGTAGCATGTGTTCCTTAATCATACCTTCTGAAAAATGGTGGTGAAAGAAGCAAAGGTGTTAAAATGGTTTTAAGAAACATGTATATCACTTCCCTTCTCAGCCTTCTGAGAAGCAGGTGCTGGTGCCAAAGGCCAGTGTTGACGAGTTTCCAGAAGGCAAAATTGAACACATCTTCCCACAGATTATTCTAAGTGGAATTTGGCTACTGATTCAAAACAATGTTTTTATTTTGTTTTTTTTCCCCCTGTGGCAGGAATGTTTTTGCAAGAATTTCTCCTACGGTACTTTATCTAGATTATTTATTTTTAATATTGTATTAATTCTCAAGTATGGATGTGTTACTAAAAAAAAAAAAAAAAAAAGGCAAAAATCTGAGAAGGATGACTCATTTAGCCTTAGAGGAAATACTGGATGTTATCTCTGAAACACAAATGTTTCTTCTAGCAGATCTGTCTCAGTAAGAGAGCAGACAATGTTTCTGTTACCATGGTATTGCAATTAATATTTAATTAACAGCTTAGGGCTTGGATGATATTTTTGTCAAGGACTGTATTGAATTCTGACTTAAATATCTATATTATTACTATAATAATGGTACACTATTATATTTAATATATTTACACTTATATGCAAATAATTTTTATAGAACATCTATTTATTTATAGATTAAACCCATCTTTACATACTTAAAATATATCTTGACAATTTATTTCTTTGTCTTTATTATGCTAGTAAATGGTGATGAAATACCAACATGTAAATATATTGCCAGGAAGAAATTCAGCGTTTTGTCAAAGCTGTGCTGCTTTGTTTCTGCTTTTCTTGTTTTTCCAAATATACTGTTGTAACAGTGTGAAGAAGACTTGTCTTTCATATCCCACAACAGGTTTACTGTAAAAAAAACTTTTGATGGTGCTGAAAAGTGCCTATTTAGTTCTTTGGACTGATATGGATATTCTGGGTTTTTTTCTCTTTTTAATAAAATGACAGAAAGTATAATAAATACTTTCTTCTTTTTAGTGCTACTTTTGAAATTGAACTTATGGGAGAAGATGAATTGGTGGGCTGTGGTCTTTTACATTACTGTTATTCTTTAAAAGTGTTTATAGAACTGTTATACATAGGAGAATTTGGGTTATTGAAAGTTTGACCAGTGAACATGAAATTATTAGAGAAGATTAATTCACATGATAGAAAACTGAACTTTTAAGTATATTCCTCTGTGGCTGGTAGACATAAGCAAAATGTGTTATAACAGACCTGAATGGACTCTTATACAGTCCTTAAGTGAAAGGCTGAAATGGAAGGTAGAAGTCTAATAAATAGAAACATTTCAGTTGTAGTGAGAAGGGAGGCTGAGTTTCTGCAATTGAAGGATCAGGAGGGAAAAAGGGATTACGCTTTTCTTGTAGATTTAAAGTGATGTATGAAGTTTGGATATGCAGAGTATTTGTCAGTTTGAACATGTATAAAGACTTTATAGACCAGATTTGAAAACTGAAAAAAAAAAAAAAAGTATAGATATTTAATCTATTTGTTTTCTGGTTATTCAGATATAGTTGAATTTCATGTTTGTAGTCAAGATTTTATGAAGTGTATTTTATGAAGGTATTTGAAGACTGGTTAGATGTGCATCTGAAGCAATTATTTCTTATATTTACTACATTAAAGATTCCTGAAGCAGGATGTTCTTCCATTTCATTGTTTAATAATATCAAGATTTAAGTTAGAAAGAATGGAGAATGTCATAAGACAATTGTACATTATAGCTAAAAATGCCAACCTGTAACAAAAACCTATTATTATATTTTGAGTATGATCTGTGCTGTGCAATGGAAATTTGGAAACTTCTGCAGCCTTGTGAATATCCCTTTACCAAAGGGAATACATGGCCCCTCCAGCAGTTCAGATTTCTGGAGACGTAAAGTGATTTCTTTGTTAATTTAAAAAAGATTATTGTAGTTGATTGAAGTAGATCAGAAATTTTACATAGTAAAATATGTCTGAAACAGGCATTATCAGGAATAATTTTCCTGTCTGTGGTCACTGAGCAGTTTACAGGTTTTTTTTTCATGCCTGTTGAGTTCATGATGCATCATGTCTGACAATACCTGTGTATATATGAACAGTTCGTATCTCTTATCCACACATAAAACCTTGTCTTGGTGATAATTATTTGCAGAATTAATCCAGTAATATGATTATTTGGGGAATTTAGTCCAGTAATAAAAGTTGCATTGTCATTAAATGAAGGATTGCCAGGAAATTATTATAATTTTGCTAAATGGTTTTCTTAACCAAAAATGGAATGCTTTCTCTAAGCATTTTATTGGAGAAACACATTTTCATATAATTTCAAGAGCTTGCATGATGAACTGTTCTGTGTATTAAAATGCCATATGGTGTATGTGTGGCAACCTCTGCTTGCTGTGCTCAAAGACTGCAGACCAGTTGTACAAAAAAGGCCTAAGGGCAGTGATGGACCAAAAAGGTCAGAAGAACTGGCGGAGAAGTGGTGTAATTTGAGCTTATTAGGGAAAAGGTCTAGTTTGCATATGTTATAATTGCCTGGCAGGTTGCCAGAGCAATTGTGCTAATTGTCAGGCAGTTTTGATGTATTAAATCCATCTTTTTCACCATTTAATAGTGATGTTTAGTGTTATTATGACTTGAGCTTTTCATTAAGGATGGAGACATGAATTTACTCTGAAGTATAATGAGATGATAGAGCAATATAAGTCACTAGCAGAGAAACAGTGTTGAAAGATTTTTTTTCAGTCCGAGCAGATCATTACCTTTGTTATTTGATAAGAGAGTGTGTGTGTGTGATTGGTTTTAGTAAAGTGTGTCAGTTAGCTTTGTAGAGTTGGATACCTCTTTCTGAAGATTAAGGGATGAATTTGTTCACCTCTTTGGCAGACTTGGAACAACAGTATCAGTCTTCATGCTTTGTTGTGGTACAATGTGGAATCGCCTTGCTGATGGCACCCACTGTGAGATACATCAGTAGTTGCTGCTGTTTTTGGAAATAGACCAGTGTATGACTTTCCTTAAAAATTAATGTAGTGTCAGAACCTGTATATCCCCAAGAGGTGAAAAAATACCTGGGAATGGAAGTGTTATTGATGGGAGTGGAAGACATATCTTCTTTGAAATTAGCAGGAAACTTTTGAAATGTAAGATTTTATTTAGGCATCCTAGTCCTTAGAGAAGGCAAATATATCTTGGTCTGTGCGGAGGTTCTTCACTGTAAAACAGAATATTTCAGTTGGAAGGGACCTACAACAATTCCCTATTAAGAGCATTGTCCAAGTGCCTCTTAGGCAGTGACAGGCTCTGGCATCAACCGCCTGGAAGCCTGTAGTTGTTTTGGCAAGATAGGTTTTCTGTCAATTACAGGTATATGTATAGGTCTGGAAAGCGTTTGGGTGTATTATTTGGTGCTATGAGGATAATAGTGAAATCTGCTTTGCTGGGACCTGGATACCTTGACAGGCTTTGTTCTGCTTGGAAGAGACAGCAGTTTAGTGGTTAGTGGAAGGTGTCCTTTTCAGCTGTCATGTGCTGGTGTTGTGCAGCAGTGAGAAAGACCGTCAAAGAACAGCTTTTGTTAGTGTGGTGAGCCAGAGTGCTGTACCTCCCTTCAGCTGTGAAGGCTTCCACAGTGATGTTTTTTGCTGACTCATGAAGAGGGCACCAACACGCAGCTTCATGTCAGAAGCATGTTAGGAAAGTCCATGTTTTGTTATATCAGAAGGTTCTTGCCCTTCTTCATGTGTGGGTAGCACATGAAGATGTGTTAGTTGTGAAGTGGTCAGGACAGATACATGTAGCTTGAGATGTAAAGCAGTGAAAGACAGGAATGTTCAGAGTAGAGGAGGTTGTAACCCAAGAATGCCTTGTGACACTGAAGTTAAGTGGAGACATCTTCAAATAAATGAGAAGCAATAGAGTTTCTGAGGGTGTATTCTGTGGGTGGGCCTACCACGTTGATAAGCTTTTGAGTTGCTGAATGATAAATAAACATTGCACATCCTTTTTATTCAAATATACACATAGTGTGGATTTTGGTGGTTTGTTTTTTTTCTCTTTACTGTGTGGCAGATTGAAATAATACAGATGTGCAGAAGAATCAAGAGCCAGAGATCTCTAAAAATGCTTCTAGAATGGGCTGGGTGCAGTGAAGTCATTAGTGTGTTTATGGACTGGAGTGATACCTTCATGAGGGGAAGCTGTAAAGAAGAGAAGCATAGCTAGAGCAAGAAATGAGGGTCACAGTGTGTTCTGATTACTCATGAACCAGTGCTGTGTGGGACTGTGTCCAGCGCTGGGATCCCCAGTTCAAGGAGAACATTGAAATGGTCCAGTGGAGAGCTGTCAGTGCTGTACAGTCTAGGGCTCATGTAACTCCCAAGGAGCAGTTGGAAGGGGAGGTTTAAGGCCTCCACTGGAAGCCTCTTAAAACTCTTGAGGAGCAATTGTGAAGATGGAGAGTTCTGTAACTCATCTTAGTAGGGGCAGCTGGTATAACAAGGACCAGTGGCCCCACACTGTAGCTTGGGAAGGGCAGATTGGATGTGAGGGTTAACTTGTCCTCTAGGATGAACAGGATTGCTGGAGAGGTAGAGAATTTGCCACATTTGGAGGTTTTCAAGACTCAGATAAAAGTATGACTGACCTGATGTAACCTTGGCAATAGTCTTGCATTGCGTGGGAGGGTGGAGGAGATGAGCTCCAGGTGTCCCGTCTGACCAAGAGTTTGTGATGCTATGAGTGGTTGTTTAACTTATGATGTCTTCTGCTTGTGTTCAGGTTTCTGGTCCTTAAGGAGCTATGGAAGTGCTATGTCTTTCCTACGTCTTTCCTTAGCTGGTTTTAATCAAAAGTCAAATGCATTTGACCGTAGTTAGTAGCTTGTATTAGTACAGTAGAGTAGAATAGGATGTTTGGTGTAGGTGGATCTTAAGTACAATCAAATTAAATTGTACTCACAATTTGTGAGTCTGTTTTAGGGAGATAAGGAATGGCACTAACAACTTTAAAAATAGTATCTGGACAATAAATTTGTATTTTAGAGGAGCTTCACTTTTTCCGACAGAAGGTACTGATCTAATATTTCCACTAAGAGAATAACTTGATTTATTTGTAAGTTCCTTTTAATACTGACTTTCTGAAAAATACTAAAAGGAACTTGATGATTAGTTTTTGAAGGTTATCTGGTAGTCATAGATGGCTAAGGGCCATTGACCATGAGCAGCATAATGTTCCTGGGAAAATGAGTGTGTGTGTGTGTGTATGTATGCTGTGAATATCAAACTAATCTCCAAAAAACCCAACCATCTGAAGTTCCTTTTAATGTACATGTGTGTATATCATACATAAAAATATTGAACACTTTTTGTGTGGTTTTTTAATTAGTATTTCTATTCAAATTTGGAGATAAAGTTAACAGCAAAAGAAAGAATTTAAACCTGTCATGATATTAATGTATTGAGAATCAGTTGAGGTTTTTAGACACCAGAATGCTCAAAAGTCAACATTCTAGATAAAAGGCACAGCAGAAATGTTAGTTAAAAAAGGAAAGGAAAAGGTAACTGTAGGAGGTAGATGTTATATTTGGTAAAAGTAAGACAGTTGGTAAGGAATGATTTTTTGGAAAAAGATGAAAAAGAAGGTGATTCATTCACATGTGCAGCCGAGAATAACTTGGGAATGCCAAAATACTGTTAATATGGAGATCAGTGATGAGAAGGAAAATTTAAATATATCAGGTATATGCAAGTCAGCCATGAAGTAAGTGAAGTTCTGGTGAGGATGAGTAAATTGTTATTTGCATTTCAGAAACTTAATTCTTGAAAACAATCAAAAACAATACAAGGATTTTGTATTAAAGTACAGCAATAAGGAAATGAATGTACAGCAATAAGGAAATTGGAGAACTGGATTTTGTTTGTTTTTTTAAAGGACCTGTTTGAAAACTCCTAAAATCACTGAGATTTGGTAACTTGGGAGAAAAATTGGGAAGTCTTATAGGGGTTTTTCTACTTGTTACATCCTTGGAACACTGGAAAGGGTTCATAATTCTCAAGAAAAGAAATGATACCAAAGTGAGTAACTTACTGGTTGGTGAGGTAGCATAAGGCCTAGTGTACTCTCAGCTGTAAAATACATTGCTCAGAATTACGAAAAATTGTGTGTAGTGTTGGATTACAGGATTGTTTAAAAATTTAGTATTATATAAAACAGTTCTGTAATAATAGCTTTAAGTCATACATGAATGTAGAATAATTTTTCACTTAAACACTTGATTGGTTTTGTTTGACAAACATGTCTTTGAATGTATTTATAATTGAAAACTTTACTTCACAGACAGGCCTCATAACCCTATGGTGAATGCTGGAGCAATTGTGATCACATCTTTAATCAAGGTAAAAAGTTAATTTTTAGTTTCTCTTCGAGTATTTTAACAGAATGTAGAAGAATGTAGAGAAAGTATCTTGTACAGATTATGAACTGTTTGCAATTTTTGTCTGCAGTACCTGATGGTAGTTTACTCATTGGTGGGTGGACAAGCTCTGGTATTTTGGAAATAGTAGCCCAAACAAATGCAGTGTTAGACTAGTAGTATTAAAAATGGAACAGTGCAGCTGAAAGAGTCTCTTCTTCCTTAGTGGTAATGTTTTGGTTTCCTTTTTTTAGCTGCACAACACTTGATATTCTCTTGAGAGTATTGCCTCATACTTGTTAAATGCTGTGGATGTATATTCCTCAGGAATATATTTTGTAGCACTCAGAAATACGTTTTGGAATGTCTAATGCTCTCCTATAGCATAAAGTTACAAGAGTATTTCTTGCTGTGCAGGAGAAATGGAACGTATTGTACAGGAGCAATGTTGCTGTATCTGAATGTCAGTCTTAATGTTTGTGTGCTGTTAACATACTGTGCAACTAAATTATGTTTACCTTCTATGTTACGTGGTTGGTGTTGGGATGTAAATGTACTTTTTTAAAATAAGAGTGTTTGGAAACAGTTACTCATATTTTACTGAGTAAATCATGGCTGAATAATGACTTAACATCTTTAGTCCATGATCTTGAGACTTTTGGAATGCTGCATTTTATTTTTTCCCATAGAATAGCTGTATATATGCCTTGAAGTTATTAATGGTATAAATTTCATGTTATGCTAATGTTTGCCAGATACTGTACTTACATTTTCTGCCTTTTTTGGTAGCCACAGGTACAAAAAAAATTTTTTTTTTCTAAGGGTACCTGCTTAGAGTTGTGGGGAATGTGTCAGTCCCCTGGAGTTTTTAAGTAATGAACTTAATACTGTTACTTCAGAGATCTAAAAATCTTGTTTACAACCTTTTTTTTATTACATTTCAAAGTCCATTAGTTACAGTGTATTTCCTACCTCCTATTTCCAAATTGTTGGTTTTAAAATTACTTAGATCATGATTTTGTGTTATTTTATATTTGAAGAAGGTGTAAGAACTCCTGCTTAAAGACATTTATCTTTAATAGCTGTAGGTGAAAGAAAATGGCCTTAAGTATGACAGGTAAATTTATTCACATTTAATATTTTTTGAAGGTTGACTGAGCATTGAAATTCACTTGGGTAATAGTGAATTTTAAAATATGACAACGCATTTGTCTGAAGTGTCAAAATGTTAGTCCAACTACAACATGCCCTACTGATCATAAGGCAAAACACAAGCATGTGCCTCTTGTGGAAGGCACGTAGTCCTTGATAAATGGTGTAGTTCTGAATATATAACTCAGGTTTGTGTACTGCATGCAACTGTGATACTTGTTAGAAGGATGGGGGATTGGTTTTTCTGTAATTTCTTTTAAATCTTTTTTTTCTGTAATGTTCTTATTAGGAGTATTGCATTGCACTAACGTTTTTGCATGTGGTAGCTGCACGTCTAGTGGATATCTTACTTATCACACTCCATTATTTGTTTTCAGTGTGATTAAAATGTAGATTATTTTATGTACTGCTTTCACTAAGGTACCATTTATCATTTGAATAACTAACCAAGCCAAACATATTCTGAAGGAAAATTACATAGGGGGTCACAGATACAAAATTACTTAATAGTTATATTTTTTAACTTCTTTATAATCTACAAGTTAACAGTATTCTTACTAACCAGTAATTTAAGTAATTCACCTTTATATTTGATCTAATACCAAATGATTTCTGAAAAAGGTGGCTTTATTAACTCTTGTTTTGCCCTCAATTCCTCTGCATTCATTCTCTTTAAGGTGCTACTTATATGTCCTGAAGACTGTGTATGGCTCTGAGAGTCTTAAGAAAATTAAGAGATGAAACATGGTTGAGTGACATGTTAGCGTGTTGATAGCTGTGGAGATCTTGTTGCTGTATTTGATGGTTAGGAATGCTTTTATCTCCTTTGAGATTCATTATTTTATCTCTTTCTGAGAAACTGATCTTAGAAGTCTTTCAAAAATCACATTGTACTGACTGTACATTGTTTTACTGAATTTACCGTGGGTGTACATGATCTTGCACACAGCTGTCCTAAGAGTCTGACACAGATTATGATCACTTATGGATAAGAGGTGATGCTTGGAGTAATCTCTCTGTCAGAATATGTTAACATGTAATATGTTAACATTTGAGGGGAAAAAAGGGCTCTTAGCATCACATACCCAGTTCTGCCTACCATAAAGAGTTTGGTATACACACTTGGAACAGAGCATGGACCTGAATTGTAAGGTTATATTTAGTCCTTGCTGTTTACAATAATAAATAATTTAAGGGTATGTGCATGTTAAGTTGTACAATTGTTTGAGTTACTTAGGCATGATTGTATCATATTTCTGCCAGCTTAAATGTTTGGGGCTATGATGTATTTATGTTTTAGTGCCTTAACTGATGGCCCTCTTCTTATTCTACTTGCATTACACTTCACAGACTGTTCCATCAGTTTAAAGCATCTATCTACAATAAAAATGCATTAGCAAAAGGACATCCTTTGGGTCACTTTTAGTGAAATGAAATTTAAAAAAACCCTAAGGACCTTTTTCCCTTGTTGACAGTTGTGCAGCCATTTGCCTTTACAACTAGTTATGTAAATGACATAGTTACAACAATTTTCAAATAGTTGTTATCAAAAGAAATCATATTGACAATTACAGGAGTTTGTGGAAGAGTGATATTTGATAAAATGGTAAATTCTTCCACGTCTCCAAGGAAATATAGGTGCTCGAAAGAAGATGATTCGGCTCCTGTACAAATTTAGTACAGATTCAGTGCAGCTTTTTGCACGTCACCTTGACTGGGAAAACCCTTTATTGCCTGTACTGTGCATAGATTTTACTGCTTTGATCTGCTATTTTTTCTTAAGCCTTAGACTCAGTTCTCAAAGCTTGTCAACTCCAGGCATGGTGTGGTTGTGTCCAGTGGTTGTGTCAGCGATTGCCACTTGCACGTTACCTTTACTGACTGGCACGATAGAGGTGCGGGTGAGAGAAAGATGAAAGGTTCAGAGTGAAATATGTGGAAGAAGGCAGATGGCTGTGGAAGGAATCTCCAGAGGAGAAGGGATTAATCTTAAGTCATTTTTATTGTGTGCTTTAACATTCCATCTATAGATAAAAGTTTTCCTAATCTAACGGTAAAGATTCAGGCACATAAAGCATCTGTAAATCCTCAAGTGCTGACAGCCACATGCAGGACCCTGTACAGACGGTGTAGACATTTGAATGCTCTGTGAAGGGAAATATTTTTTGGTCTTGAATTATAGTGGGAAGCATTTAGATGTGTTGGGGGTAGGATAGCAATATTCATAGTCCTTGCAAAAACTTGGTGTATGAAAAAATGAAAATACTGGTTTTGCTGACCCTAGAAAAACCTTTAATTCAATGGGAGCTTTTTTTTGGTATAAACAGAGGTGTATGCAATACACTTTAAGAACTTTCTACATATGCTGATAAGTCATAAAATAAAAGAGTCAAGGAATGGTGGAAAAAACATGCCTAGCTCTGCCGAGCATCTGTTTGCTGTCAGGATTCAGTTAGTCTAATACTTAAAGGGGTGGGAAAAGGCATGGTTTATTGGGTTTATTATAGTTACAATAAATAGTACTGATGTAGCTTAATTGCTCTGTGCTGCCACTCCAGTTATCCTTCCTGATAGATACTGATGTGTAAATGTATGTACATACCACTTTTAAAACATGTGTTGGCGCTGTGATCTTCTCTGCCAGATACTTGTCTTTATTTTGGTGATGTATCCTCTCTTCCTAGGTTATTAATTTTCTTGTAGTAACTTATTTTGGATAGAACATACATCCACATTATTCTGCACTTGCTTTTCATTGTAACTCAAGTGTATTGGGTGTTACTTAATGTAGACTGCATGGTAGACATTCTGTGGATTACATGTATTCAGTGGTTACACGTGCCCATAAAGTGAAGGACACAAAAATAATTTTTATATGTATTTGAAATAGTAATAATATTGGTCTTAGTGGGTCAAATACTGTCTGTGACAGTGTACTCTCAAGTATTCCAGAGCTGAAAATGGTACACTGAACAGTCAAGGCACTGGTTCTCACACAACAGAACCACATTAACAAATGAAATTTAAGAAGCGTGTAAGTACAGAAAGCTGAAATAAAGACGTTAATAATTGAATGAAAAATGCACAAATATAAAAAAGTTTTCTTGCACTCTGACATAGTGTTATGATTTTCTGTTTGTGGATGTTTTCATCACAGTATAGTGTTAGATTATAAATTTGGCTCTAAAGATTCCAGAAACTAATTTTTAAATAATCTTGTATTATTAGAAGATTAAAAACTTCTCATGATCCAGATGTTTTTATTAGCTTTGCTTAGTTTCAAAATTGAAAAATTACGTTAAAAAGAGACACATGGTGAGAGCTTATGTGGTCTAATCATGTAAACACTGAATATTGATCAATGAAAAGTGGCTCTTATTAACTACTTTTCTAATAAATATTGTCTAATTTTGTTGTTGCAAGCTCTCATAAGTATCCATGGGTCTCTTTCCTATGTAGGCATACAGCCTTTGCAGCTGTTTATATTTTTCTAGTAGAAATACAAATAATACCATGCAAGTAGCTTGTTTGTTTTGTGTTTTTTTAAAGAGAAGGGAAGATCACTAAAACCTGACACAGTCAAAAAATTCAAATTTATGATTGACAGCCACGGTGTCCATTGGTGTTTTAAGTGTTTACAAAATTGTACTGAGCTGTCTTCTGCAAGTTTGAATTTTCTGCCTATCAAACCGCTTCAATCTTAACATTCTAAATTTGGTTTTGTATTCATTTAGAAGTGTTTTTTCATATGTATATACACACGAGCATGTAAGTAAGTGTGTATATGAAACATATGTTCCAGTAAATGTACTGAGTGTTTGTGGAGTTAGTGCATGGAATGTTTTCATTGATGTGCTGGACAGGTGAATTGCATCTGAACTTTAAAATGCTTTTTAGGAATATTGTCACAGTGCCCCCAACCTCATAGGTTTACAGAGTCAAGCAAAAAAATGAGAAGCACTTGTGGGAAGGACAGAAGTTTCCTTGTCTCTCGTGTTTGTTTAAATTGCTCTGGAAAAGCTGCTCAGTATTCTGAATGTTAGGATTTTATATTTGCACTTGAATTTTAATTGTGGAATGTGTGTTGCCACTATGTCTCTTCAGCCTTTTAGGAGGCTGCTGAAAGAGGGAAACTAAGATGTTGGGTTTTTAGTCATCATGTGTATGGAAGCAGAGTTTTCTATTTCAGTTACATGTTACAGTAAATCTACAGAGGTTGTGATCATGTGATTGCTTTGGCAAATAGTTTAGGTGTATTAGCAGTCTCTAATTTCAGTAACAGTGCTTTTGTGTTTGATATAAAATGCCTGTACAAGTGCGTGGAACATCAAGGACTAAGAAGGCATCGCCTGAGTTAACATACGGAAGAATTTCTTCCCAAACTGTGGCTTTAGTTGTAAACTTCAAAAGGAACCTTTTTCATAAAGAGTTTATGTGGAAAAAGTTTGCATTGAGTATTTTTGCCCACCAGTTTTGTGTGCTGCTGGTAAAGCCAGGTTTTTGTTGAGGGGAATTTTTTTCCACTGGGCAAAACAAAAAAAGTGAAGTATTATGTATTTATATTTTTTCAGAAAGCATGATCCCTTTCTCCCTCCTCCTTTTTTTTTAACAAAAGAACTTGTTTCAATTTATTATACATGTCTAACCATACAATTATCAATGCAGCATCCCATAACTAATGCTGACCCACTTTCCCAGAAAAAGATGTTCATTGTGCATTTGAAAGGTTGAAAAGGTTTTTGTGGTTTAAATGTTGTTACATATTTTACAGCATTAGGATCTATGGAATATTTTGACAACTGCAACAGTTCAATGAAGTTGGTAATTTCTTCTTTTAATTATTTTTCATTGAACAGATTTGGAGTTAAATTTTTAAGGCTTGTGTTCTGGTGTATTATACAGGAACATTTTGATGAAATGTGTCATAATTTTTTTTTTTATCTTATTGCAAAATTAGCTAGAGATTATTGCCTTTTAAGAATAAGGTTATTAGCCTTTTAGCATAAGGTAGCCACTGGTGCATAACTTTGACAAACAGTGTGGTGTTCCTTTCACTAGTGATCGTACGTGTATGGCTGAACATCCTCTGGTAGATGAGCTGATGCATGGGCTTCAAAGATTATCTGCAACATCTTAATTCCACATCCAGAGTGGGAAATAAGACCGGCTTTATGCATTTCATTAAGTAAAATAACTGGTTGATATGAAGCTCCCATTTTTCCGCATCCCTCCCCATCCCCACACGAAATGCAGTGCAAGTAGTGTCTTGAATTGTTGGAGATTTGTTAGAGTTTTGTTATTCTAAATAGAGTATCTTTAATATTAAAATTATGTATTAAAACATCTCCTCCACTTGTGTATGTGATGCCACTATTTTTTAAACTTCCTCAAAAAATTGTACTTGACTACTTAAAAAAAATTAAGAAGTCCCCCCAATACACCTTGCACTATTTTTTACCTCCCACTCCTCTTTCAGTCTCCTATAGAAATTTCTGAAAGGTCACCCATCAGAACCCTCTAAAGAATTAATATCTTTGACGTCTTTAACTGGCAGCTGCTAAATTGGAGGATGTTCTTAAATGGGAGGGCAGAAAAAAGCCCCAAAGTAACACCCCTTATCCTCCAAAAAAACCCAAACTATCCCTATTAAGTTTGATTTAGATTTTCCTGTACATTGTTAGCACAATGATGTGCCCTATGTTGTGAGATTCTGTTTTTCTAACTGTTAAGCAGTTTTTAATAGGTAGGACATTAATCAGATATTTTTTATTAAATGCAATTATTTTCTTAGTAAGGGATAACACCTTAAGTTTTTAATCTAAATTCCAAGTATGGGCACTAGCCATGGAAATATTTTAACTTCTGTAGCCTAACCTCCTTATGCTCAGCTCTGTTGGTAGATTGAGAATACTTTTGGATTACTAGTCTGTAAAATGTTTCAGTATAGTGTTTTCACTGTAATTAGCTTGATTGTAGTTACTTTTGTATTTTTTGCTTTAGCTTCTGCATTTACTTATGCTAAGCACATAAAGTTCAATAGAGAGCACTTAAAGCATACCTTTCTCAGTTTAAATTAATTTCCAGCATACAGGTGTTTGATAAGACTCTTTTAGGATTATTTAAATGATAATTAAAGATTTACTTACCTAACACTTTAATTTTTTCATTAATATATGAAATGATTGTTATTCTTAATTAGCCTCATACCTTAGTTACATGCATTAAAATCCTAATACTGTTAAGTAACTTCTCTCTTACGTTAACAATTTTTGTAAATTATTTTTTCTTTTCTTGCAGCAAGGAGCAAATAATGCAGAAAAATTTGACTACGTAAGTTAATGTTACAACATTCCTTTTTTAATTAAATTCAGTGATACAAGTTTAAAGATGGCAAGGGAATTTGAAGTGAAATATTAGTAATATATGTTTTGTCTTTGTAGCTGTACTTGGTTACTTAAACATTTAGTGATTTGGATTGCATCTGTAAAATCGTGTTACAAGATTTTGGGGTAAGGCTGGGTTGAAAGTTCATAACTTTTTACTGTGTGAAAATGTTAGCTTGCTTTTCCCCCTCTTTGTCTATAACAGGTGATGCAGTTCATGAATAAAATGGCCGGTAATGAGTATGTTGGATTCAGTAATGCTACGTAAGTATTTTTTTATTTGCTTAATGAAGCTGGGTGGAAAGTGCTTTAACTGATAATTGGTATATTGAGCTTATGGCGAAGTTCAGTTATTTACATTGAACCAGCTAATTGACCACTGAACCCCTAATATTAGAGGGTCTCCTTGGCTTAAAATTTACAACTAAAGTTGTGCATGTCTCTGACGTCAGTGTGGCTAAATTTCACCTAAAAGTTTTGGTTACCTCTTTGAAATGTCATTATTCTGTCTTAGTGCTCTGTTGGTGCTATGGCAGTGAGAGCTGTAAGTGCAACTCTTCTGTTCCTGGCATTCATATTACAAATTAAACTCTGCATGTTGGTAGCTGTATATCAAATGTTTTAGAAAGCATAGTTCATACAATTGGCACTCGTTCTGGTTTTTTATTTTGCATATTTAAATGCTTTTCTCAAACAAACAGTTCATTATAAAATCAGTGTATAGCAATTCCAGAAGTCTTGAGAGCTTGTTGAGGCAGCATGGGGGGAAAATCATGAAGATTCCACATAGCAGAGTTGCTTCCAGGTGGTCAGCTGGAATGCAGATGCAGAGAGACAGAATGAGATAACAGAATGAGATAACTAGTGTTTTTCCTGAGCTTTGTTCCTGTAAAAGGTGTGTGCCATGGAAGGAACCAGGCAGGAGAGAATTACTTATCCTTGTATTGTATGTATTCCTCCTTTAGGTTATATCCTTACCTTAACCATCGTGATGAAGAGTGCTGCCCTCAGTCTGGTCATTGTCTGAGCTGCCCCTTGATCCTCAGATTCCTCTGGTTTGGTCAGAGTTCTCAGGGAATGACCCTTTCACTTTATCTCAGTGTGGGATGTTTCATTCCACTATGGGCTATCTAGAAAGGCTTCCAAGAGTAGGATCTTACCCTTCTTTGCCTTATCTCCAAGCCTTATCTCCTTTATGTATGTGTAGGTCACCACTGCTGTGTGTATTTGGGTGTCAAGGCTAATTCACTCCATCTGGGTGAACTGGGATGGGTGCCTATGGCAACTTCTGTCCCATTAGTAGAATATTTGTGTTCAGACCTAAATTACATAATGCATTACTCAAGTCTGACATGTTGCCTTCTGTTTATTTGGGGTTTTTTGTTTGTTTGTTTGTTTTCCCTCTTTTAGGTTCCAGTCTGAAAGAGAGAGTGGAGATAGAAACTTTGCAATTGGCTATTACCTGAAAGAAAAAAAGGTTGATATCTCTTTTAAGTGTGTTTTGAAGATTCTGGGGTGGGGTTTCTTCATAGTCTGTGAAGATTTTTAATTTATTTGATGTACAGTATGGCACAAATTAATGCTGTATATGTTTTCTCACTGTTATTCAAAATGCTGTCATTTAGAGAGAGTCTTTTGTCATTCTGATAGAACGCCTCTAAATTGTTTTATATCGTAACTATGTAATTTGTTTTAATTCTTGTAAAATGCATAATCTGTGCTGTCTAGATGACTTTATAAAATTCCTGGTTACATTTTTCAGTTTACTGATTTAAAGATGTTAAAAGCTGTACTGAAAAATATTTTAATACCTAGCTTACTGATTTCACGGCACTTATTTTTAAATATGATTTGATTAAATATTTCTACTTGTTGCATTTAAATATTTATTTTTAAATATGCTTAATGCTTAGTATGCTAATAAAAATACAACTTAATATATGTCTTTCTAAAAGCAATATTAAAAAAAAAAAATAACCTGAAGACTCTCTTTATTTTTCTTCCTCAGTGCTTTCCTGAAGGCACAGATATGGTTGCTATACTAGACTTCTATTTTCAGGTAACTGACTTTAAAATTGAGATTGACTGTAGACTTAGAATTGCTGATATAAGCAGTAGAAGCTGATTTGTGCCTAGATACGAAGGTTTTAATGACTTAAACTTGTCAGCTTCTGTTAGACTCTGGAAATGAATGATGTATGTTTGATGTATCCAGATTTGCTTTTGTTTAGGGGATGTACTTAGGTGTCTTTATTGCTAATGGAAAGTAGCAATAATGTTTAGAAGGCTAGTAGGTAGAAGCTTAAAATGTCTTGTATTACTTCAGTGAGTTTGACAAAACATTTCTGCTTCTTTGGGTTGCTGCTGCTTACAGTATGCAAAGTACTTTAAACTCCGTGTAACTGAAGAATGCATGTTCTTTTGTAAGCTCAGGGGTAGTGGTACAAGTGAAGTAATACGAATACCTCCTCCTTTTTGTTTATTCAATGGTTATGAGTAAAAGAATCATGTCATATGTATTCTCCCCTCCCCCATTTTTTTTTTCATTTTCACTTTCAGCAAGTTATTTTCAACTTGGCAAAATGAGAACTTGGCAAGTGCGAGGTTTTTCCTCAGTAAGGGTTTCCTAATGCTAAAACATTCCCAAGTCAGTCAGCTCTGCTGTAGGGTTCTCAAGAGGCAGTTTAAGTTGTGTAACTGATTCAGCTCATTTGGGAGAGTTTAAAAAATAGAGTTCAGTTGTCAAAATGAATCTGTTTTAGGCTCCGAGACTTGCTCTTACTTATGCAAAGTATAAGCCATTATTTACAAAATGCAAATTCTATCTGAGTTTTTTCTATTGGGACGCACCTGCTCTTATCTTTAGATCAGATGAGTGACTGTTTATGAAGTAAGATGTATGTGATTAACTGTAGTTGACTTCCTGTTGAATTAGAAACTAGGTACAAGCTAATAGTTTACTCTGAACTTCCCTTCTGACAGAACAAAACCAGTATTTGAATTTGATATTTGAACTGATATTTATTTCAATTTACTGTTTAAACATGCTTTTTAAATGCTTCATATCCCACTGCCTCAAGACCTGATACACTTCTGAGACAATGCTATTCATAAGTTAAGAAATGTTAAGCTAACTTTTCTGATGTATTTAATTTGGCCTCATTTTTGGTGCATTCTGATCTCTGATTTAATGACTGTGTGTCATTCTTTCTGTTTCCCTCAAAAAGTCACAAAAAGGGTAGCTCATACGCGAGTGGCATTTCTGTTTTATTGTTATGGTACAAGACTAACTTTCCAACACTCAGATTCTACTTAAAAGTCTAGTTATTTCTTTCTGTGGGTATTCTGTAATGCTCCTTCATCCCTTGTGTAACTGGGAACTTTCTAAACAGGAATAAACTTATTTGTTTATTATCTTTGTAAAGTGAGGATGGATTATTCTCAGTTTAGAGAAACGAGGTACAAAATGCAGGTGCTTAAACTGAGAACCTAGAAAGAATTTTTTTTTTTCAAAGTAGGTGATATTATGTAATACTTCATATGTTTAAAACACAGTTGCCATTTTAGATGCGTCTCTGACAATCTCTTGATTTGCAACTCCAGTTGATTGGACTAGGATGTATTGAGTTTGGCACCCGGAAAATAAGAATTCCAGGTAGTAACTACTCATGCAAACGTGGCTTAGGTAACTTCATGAAGTATCATGTAATGACTGTTTGGCAAAAGCAAGAATACTAGCGTTAGTTTGTTTACTTCTTTAGAGCAGCATTTCAGCTTCAGGTTGAAACCAACTTATCTTTTGGTTTCTGCAGAAATGAGGCAGCATCAGGTGATGGCATCATATCACATTTCCTGATGTGTCACCAAAGTATGTATAGTCTGTACTGAAGCAGGGATCCTGGGAAAAACTATTGTGTGATTGTATCATTACTATATAAAATAGCATATATGAGAAAGGTGAAAAAAGGCTGCATCAGCAGGAAGTGCTGGCATTAAGACTTGCATGTGCTAGAATTTGCAGCTTTAAAATGTTCTTCTGATAATGTGTGGGATCTTCTAAGGCTTTAAAAAAAAAAAAACCACACAAAATGAGCTCAAATGGAAAAAAACCAGTCATTCTGTGGCTTTGCCATTTAAGCAGATGCAAACTACTGAGATTGTTTTACAGACCTCATCCTCTCAAAGGAACACAAGGGGGTGGGGGAGGAATCAAGCAGAGACACTAACCCATAAAAAATACTGTCCCAAACTTTTAAGAGGGCTTACAAACACTGTCGCTGGGATCTTTATAGTAGAAAGCCTCAGACTGTATTAATTGATGCTGTTAGTGTCATCAACAAATGTTATGCTGCAGGTGATTTTGAGACGTTATTTCTGTAGAGACATGTTGATCCTGCAATAGTTGGCTTTACTGTGGTAGAAGTATCAGTGCTTATAATCTCTATTTCTTTTTCATAAGCTTTGCTCAATAGAAGTAACATGTGAATCAGCAAGTGTGATGGCAGCAACTCTGGCTAACGGTGGCTTTTGCCCAATCACTGGTGAAAGAGTACTGAGTCCTGAAGCAGTCCGGAATACCTTGAGCTTAATGCATTCCTGTGGCATGTATGACTTTTCAGGGCAGTTTGCCTTCCATGTAAGTAGTTTTCAGGTATTAATTAGAGCTGACCAGGAAGATAAATCTCTGCTGCTGTTTTCCATGTTCCAGGAATTGTTTAGAAACTGAGCACACACCATAAGGGAAAATCTCACCTAGGTTTCACGGCACTACTGATATCACATACCCTGTGGCACTCTGCCACTTCACATTTGGGAATCCTTTTCATATTGAAACGTAAATACTCTTCACTAGCAGAGACTGCTGATGAGAGAAACAGGTCATGATGTAGGTATAATTGAAAACATAACTGAAGAACTCCTGCTACATGGGAGTAAAAGGTAGCAGAAAGCCCTTGCAGACAGTTGGCTTTTTCTTCACTAACTCAGGCTTGTAAATTGTCCTTATGTGTTATAAAAGTGGCTATCACATACAGCACATGTACCATATTCCTATTTTCCAGCAGTATGTTCCTTACCATGTAAGCATTTCAAGATGGCCCGTATCTTAACTAGTGCTCTCAGCATTTTGTTTTGAGCATTTTTGGTTTTTCCTTACTTCATACACGTAAAACCGATTATGATGGTTGGTGTGACCTAAAAGTTACTGCTTAGAGAGCTATGAGGATGTTAATTCCTATTGGAAAAAAAGTAATGCCTTTGTCTAGATTGTAAATAAGTAGGTTATTGTGTGATTTCACAGACAGACTCTTCAGTTTTCTTGTGGTTTTTATTTTTTACCTTTTCCAGTCAGGATTTTAAAAATGTTATATGGCTTTGTGCTACTACATCGTTGCAAGGTGAGAGATACACTTGTGCACTACTGCTTAGTCATAATTGCTTTTTTATAATAGATTTAAATTATCTTTTTGTACTGTATTACTGACTCACTGTATTCCTGACAGCAAATAGTTTTATGATTGTGTAGCTTGGATTGCTCCAAACTGTGCTTCAGGTTATTGTCTGAAGACAGAGATAAGTAATAATGCTTTCCTAGCTTTAAGTGCTTTCCAGATCCATGTTTTATAAATACTGCATAATAATCTTCAGTAAAGTGCTGATGCATTGTTATAATGGTGAAGAATGTTTGCAGAGGCCAGTAATTCTCTATTCTGTAGGTTGGTCTTCCTGCAAAATCTGGAGTTGCTGGTGGGATTCTTCTGGTTGTTCCTAATGTCATGGGCTTGATGTGCTGGTCACCTCCTTTGGACAAGATGGGCAACAGTGTTAAAGGAATTCACTTTTGTCACGTAAGATGCATTGCCTTTGGGGTTTTTGTTTGTTTTGGTTTGGTTTTTTTTCCTTTTGCAGCTGATGTTTACTGAGCTTCAGTTAGCATAGCTGAGATCTAAGTGAGTTAAATAGTGATTTGTGATTCTTCCCTATGTAGCAAGTTTCATCTGGTTCAAGGCTGGAAGTCCAAGAATACACATTTGTGTTTTAGCAATAAATAGCACTTGAATTCAGTGACCATTAAGAAAATACGATGCCAAAAACACTATTGAAATCTATTGCGGAAAAGCTTTGAAAAGAAACAGTTCATTAAATAATGAAAGTGCTGGTCTCTTGTATACTGCATTAGAAGCTGTAAGCTCTATTTACAGACTTTTCCCCCTCTCCTGTCATAAAGTGAACAATTTTCAAAACTGGAAATGCAACTCTTATTTTACTGCAATAAAAGAAAAAGACTGTAATGAAATATTGCCATTCTGATGTATTTTTAAACTAATTTTTGTAAACAATCTAACATAAAAAATGTCTATGGATCAGACCCAGCTGTTGGGCAAGCTCTTCCTAGCTTCATCTCTTGCCAGTGAAAGGGCTGTGGGTAGTCTGTTGATAGTAGCATTAGAAGCAGGAGAGATTTTGTAGAGTACTATGTCATGATTAATAAAGATGTTTCGTGGGAGAGGAGAATGTGAAAAGTGTTTTCTTTTCTGTTTCTTTTCTCCCTAAAACTACCTTGTAATACCAATGACATAATGATAAATGGGAGGTTGAGTAGCAGTTAAAACTTTCCATACTTCTGTTTATCTAACATTCATACAAATGAACTTAACTATAAAACCATAGAATAAGAGGATTTACTGCATTTATGTGTGTGGTAATGAGACCTAAAAACTGATACGTGATCATGGTGTACAGGTAACATGAATGTAACATTCACTTTTAAAAACAGAACAACATAGACAAGTTCTGTAATTATAACCTTTCATGCTGTAATTCAAACTGAATTAGAATCAGTTAGGTCACACATTTTCTTGTTTCATCATTTTGAATGAAGTTTGATGTACTGGACTAGCCCAGGCTATTCTTTCTGTTCATGAAGTGTTCCATAGAGCTGGAGTAGGAAGCTATTGAAATAGATATTTTGCAAATTGTTACTTGTTGAAGAAGGAGTTTTAAGGTGTTATTTGGACTTTACCATGTAATTGTGTTATGTTCAAAGGGCCTTACAGTCATTGATACTGATTTATTAAATAAACTTATTGCTGGTTTAACTTGCTAGGATATGATGTAAAACGTAAGTGGTAGTATTATTATCTCATAGTCATTTGTCATATGCAGATAATAATGTATGTTCTCTAAATATTTACAGGATCTGGTTTCTCTGTGCAATTTCCATAACTACGATAATCTGAGACACTTTGCAAAAAAGCTTGATCCTCGCAGAGAAGGTGGTGATCAGCGGGTAAGTGGATGTCTGTGTTTAGTGAGTATTGCTGGTAGACATCAGAAGAAAAGTGGGAGGTTCTTCTCTAAATACAAAACTGCTCAATGACATGTATTGCATCAAAGCTTTCAGATAATCCAGTTAGTTTACATTATTAGTGGGCACTTACCTGGGTGGACCACACCATCCACCCAGTAGTAGAATTTGGTATTAGGTTTGTAACTCCATTTCATGCAGTCCATCTCCCCTGCTAGATTTAGCAGATGATATCTGATCTAAGAGTTCTACTCTACTGGTTGCCTTTAATAAAGACTTGACCAGCTGGTGGGCTTAATCTTTCTGTTCTGTGCTGCAGCACATGAGATCTCTGTTTAGCTGTATTTTCATGGGGATATCTCTGAGACCACATGACTTGCTGAGAGTTGCACAGGCAGCAAATTCAGGTGTGAATACTCACAAGAGCCTGTTACTTAGGAAGCAGCGAAAACAGTGTCTGGGAATTGACTGAACCCACTCCAGCTACATGTACAAGAGAAAAAAGTGTGAAGGTGCTTGAGATAAGGAAAACTTTGGTTTTCGTTACCATTAATGTTTTGACTAAGGCATGAAGATTTCAGTAGGAGAAGATACAGTAGAATGATTTTTAAAGTACTTCTATATGCATGTATACATCTAAAAAATACCAAGTTTTACATTTGAATTTTTTTATAACTGGAAAAGAGAAAATAGCAGTTTATGTGAAGAGCTGAAAAACTTGAGTCTATTAGCATTGACTGCAAGAAATGGATTTTTTTTTTTCCTTCAAATACACTAATAAATAATGTATGTTGCTTGAACAACTAGCATTCCTTTGGACCAATGGACTATGAGAATCTCCAGCAAGAACTTGCTTTAAAAGAAACAGTATGGAAAAAAGTGTCACCTGAATCAAACGAGGACATCTCCAGAACCGTAGTGTATAGAATGGAAGGTCGGGGAGAGCAGAACTAAACGAATGGGTTCTAGTTTCATTAAATTCTTCATTTTACAAACCCTCAAGCATCTCTAGATTTAACTTTGGCTTGAATATTGTTTGCCTGGTGTTTCGTTTATATATATATATTTTGTGTAAATTCTGTATGCTATACCAAAAAGATTGTCAAAGTTCAAGGGGGAGTGGGGAAAAGGCACATGCAAATAAGAAACCCAAAGCTGTTAACTGACTTTTGTAGTTACTTAGAACACATTTAGTTAAAAAAAAAAAAAAGGTAAATCTTACTGTTTTCAAAGATATACTATTTCTGTGTATATCTGTTTATTTTTGTTTATATCTCAGAATTTTAAGTAAATGAACTTTAGAGATAAGCAAGAACTTGTGTCCTCTGAGAAGGGTCGGCATGTAAAAATAAGAGAACACGAATTACAATATAAAATAGTGTCATCAAAATACAGCAAATTCCTGAATCTCTAAATAATTGTCTATTAAGCAAAGATAGGTTCTGAGTCATGTTATTATCATATCCTTTCTTTTTTAATGTGAGCTTTCATATTGCTTTGAACAGAAATGGACCCTTTGCATATGCCATGCTAGTGAAGATTATTTTTCTCTTTCAATCAGAACATTAATAATTATTAATGCTAATATTTAAATAAAAAGAGCAAAAATGGCTGGGGAGGAGTGGGAGTAACAGGGAGGAGGAGGAAAAAAACCTGTCTTGTTTGCAAGTTAACTAACACAGCAGAAAGATCTCTGACCCAACTGTTCTCTAGCTGCTTGTGCTGCCAGCTGGTAGTTATGACTCAGAAGTCTGCCTTACTAATAGTGCTGTGCTCCACCCTGGAGAGGAATGTAAGCAATCTGGGGTTGAGTGCTAACCAACTGAGCAGTGAGCAGGAAATATGTTCAGAGTAAAGCAGATAGGTAGATCTTATTATTAAAACTGTTTACAATTAACTTATTTTTCAACCATTAGTATGTGCGCATGTTCATATGTGAAGATCAGAGGTTTCAATTTACTTACACATGAGCAAATTCTTAAAAAGTTATCAAGCAATTTTTTTTTAATTATTTTGAATTTGCAGCTCTGTCAGTTTGCTGAAGAACAGGACTTGCATTTTTCTACAGATAACAGCGTCTGTTAAGCTGCATAATTTGATAATTTGAGTGTCTTGAGTAGAGTGTAGCTCAAAACGATGTATTTAAGCTTCAGATAGGCTCAGTGGGCAATGCTGAACAGGTCAAAGATTTGCAAAATTCTTGGCACTTGCAGGTATTAGATTAGATCAATTATGCTAAAAATCTTAGAAAATTATTCTTTGTATCCCTTTTATAAGTTTGCAAATAATGTGATACATCCCTTTCTCATTACACATCATGCAGAGTCTGAGTTTATAAAACTGCGGGGAATTTTAAGAGGCAATGTTAAGCAATTCCTTAATAATACCTTCACCTCTTCTCACCTTCCCCAGTCCCTCTCTGTTTTTAGTTTATCTAAAACTCCAAGATGTGTTCATATGTGAGTTTTGCTAAAAGGAGAGTTCAATTTTTCCTGTTCCTCTTTTGACCCATCTAGATATTTATGAGTTTAGGAAGATGCATAAAGCAAAATTGGTGTTCTCTGAAAAAGCAAAGTTCTCTTAATTACTCTGTTTAGGTATTGTTATTTTGCATAAACTTTTGGAAAAAAACTCTTACGAAACTCCGAATAATCTTCATTTAGCAAAGTATTGTAAAAGGATGGGCTTCCTGTCTTTGAAGCCTAGAATGAAAAATATTAAAGCAATTTTCAATTAATTTGAAACCCTAATGGGATGAAGAGGTAGATCTGTGGTGCAGAAGTCAATAAAAAGTGTCAGTCATAAATTACTGAACAACAATTTTATAATCTTATCACTGATGGTAAGGTTAAGTTTGTCAGTGCTCATCCTGAAAATAAAGTGAGTAGAGGCAAAGTCTTGTATTATAAAAATGTCTCACCCGTTTGAGGATTTTACAGTAAGCTAGTAGCTACAGAGGCATAATATTCAGACCCTGCAGAACTACATGTCCTTACCTGAAATACCCTCAGTTGCAAGAGGGAATGTAATGTGTCTGTGCTGCTAATGAAAAGTATTTACAGTGATGACATGTTGCTGGTTAAATTACTGATTTAATTAAAAATGGAAAATGCAGGATTTACTTGATCTGACTCTACCCATCTTGATTTTTAGTACTGTTTGAAGCCACTTCTAAAAATGTGGTTGATGATGGAAGGCTTTTCCATCTGGATTTCAACTTGAAAGTAAAAAGTTTTACCCTGTTTATGTTTGTCAGACACAAAACTTGTGGTAGAGTCAAGTTCCTGCATGGGAAATAGAAAAATAAAGAAACTGCTAGATCTTTAAAACGCATAGTAAGAATATTTAGGGTACAGCTTAAACAATCTTTATATATTTATATATATATTACAGTTTTGTAATATATGCTTTCAAAGCTTGTCTCGGAATTGAAGGCAGCCTCTAGCTAGGAAAGGGTCAGGAGGAGATTCCTTGGAACCAATTATTTTGTAACTTGCCCACACTTGTGGGCAGATGGCTCTTTTTCATGGCAGGGTGCCCGGAGGCCAGTGTTAGGTCTGCCCTGATGACTTCCCCCACCTGCACTGGGTCTGGTGAGCGGGCCCCAAAGGATGGGTGATAGAGGCTGGTCATTCTGTGTGTGAAGTCTTCAACGGTTTTAGTGTTCACCTGTGCTACAGTAATAGCAATTCTTGATATTCAAGCATTTTAGCTGTTTGTTTGTTTTTCTTTGTCAGCATCATTAACATTTCATTAGAAATGTAAATGCTTTTTAAAGTTTTTATTTTAGCATTTGTGTTGTACCTTTTGACTCAGTTGTTACCTGTCTCATTTTCCATTTTTCATTTGCATTGTATGTTATTTATGTATCTTGATTTCCAGCATGCTTATTTTTGTATTGTTTAATAAATTTATTTTAAGCTGATTTTTATTGTATTTTTTTTCTCTCAATTGAGAACAGATTTGTTCAAACACGTTTTTGAGACTGAAGTTCAGATAGTGAGCACTCCATTCTTAAAAAGATTCTGGAAAAATAGGTGGAATAAGCAGATTTAGTTAAACCAGTCATTGAAAACCTTCCTAAGATTTCTTAAACATTTTGTACAGTAATCTAATTATTTTTCTCTTTGATCTGTTATCTTAGAAAGTTTTAAAAAAGAGTCAAGCAAAACTTTCTCACTTTTTTAATAAAAAAGTCCTGGTGCAGTAGGACATAGTGTCACTGTGTATTGGTCTGGTTTAGAAGATATGGATTCAGTCACTTGGAAAATATGTGGCTAATGGTACTAGTGCCAGGGAAATAACTGCTGATCCTGATTATTATTAGGGGAAAAATACAGCATAATAATCACATGTAGCAAGGAAGGTGATCCAAACCCCACATTGTTTTAGTAGTGATAGTGGGGTCTGCCTATACTGAGAATGGCTGTAATTATTAATTTAGCTTTTCTATAGACTGGGTTGTAAGCTGAAGTTATTTGTTTTATGGTTGTAAAATTTTCTGTATGTTCACTGTACATAAAAATACCACATATCAAAAGAGTTTATTCTCTAAAAGTCTTAAAGATGATGAAGAGTAGAAGAGTGGTAGATACAAAGAGAGAGCCACTGGTAATTTACCATGGAATTATTTTGGCTCTTACATTTTGGTTTTCATTGTGATTTGTGTCAGAAGACCAGTAGGTGGGTAGATGAATAAAAAGGCAGTGGATTCAGAAGAGGGTGGGTGGGAGGGGGGATGGAATATGTTGGTTTTTCATTTCTGTTATATCTCTTGGTCTTGATACATACATGTCATTGATGTACAGTAGTTAGCTGTGAACAGAGTAACTAATTATGAGCTTCATAATTTATCTGTGGTGTTTTAGTATACTATTGTTTGTAGGCTTTTACTGTTTGGGTTTTCCTTTTTTTAATTTAAAAAGTATTTCTGTAATTTTCTGAAGGGAGTTCTGGAGCAGTTATTGCAGTGAAAGAAGAAT